TGGGTTCAAGCAATTCTCCTCCCTTAACCCCCCAAGTAGCTGGAATTACAGGCACCTGCCACCATGCCACCATGCCCAGGTAGTTTTTTTTCCCCCCCGCTAGAGACAAGGTTTCACCATGTTGACCAAGCTGATCTCAAACCCCCTGACCTCAAGTGAGCCCCTTGACTTTTCATCCCAAAGTGCTGAGAATACAGGCATGAGCCACCACCCGTGGCCATCAACACCTTTAACTGCATGGACATTATTCTGGCACTGGTTTATAGAACCTCACATGGGGTCGGGTAGAGCTGAAGGGGACCTCAATGTCCCTTGAAGAAGGGATGTGGACTGCGTAGCAAGAGCACAGAAGTGGAATGCATGAGGTTTCAGTGTTGATTGGGTAAATGACGCTGAAATCTTGCGTGCGTGACCAGGAGATAAATGCATGAGACAGGGGTCTCACTGTGTTGCCCAGGCTAAACTGGGCTCAGATCCTCCCGCCTCCACCCCCCTCCCCCTTCCTTGGTGGATGGGACTACATGATGTGAAGATGATTCCACACACAGGAAGGAAGGACTGTTCTTTGGGGCATGCCCCACCCCGTTAAATCTGTGTTTTAGATAAACAATGTATTTGAGTTGTACTTGAGCAGCAAATGATTTGCTGTTTAGGTATGGACACTTTTTTTTTTTCTTTTCTGATTTTAAGTATGGCACCAGTCCAGGTACAGTGGCTCACATCTGTAACTGTATCACTTTGGAGACCAAGGTAGGAGGATCACCTGAGGTCAGTTGTTCGAGACCAGACTGGCCAACAATGGCAAAACCCCATCTGTGCTAAACATACAAAAATTAGCCAGGCGTGGTGGCACACACCTGTCATTCTAGCCGCTCAGGAAGCTGAGGCAGGAGAATCCCTTGAAGCTGGGAGGCTGAACTTTGAGATCACACCACTGCACTTCAGCCTGGGTAACAGAGAGAGACTCAGCCTCAAAAAAGTAAACAATAGACCAGGCACGGTGGCGCACACCTATAATCTCAGCACGTTGGGAGGCCGAGATGAGAGGATCACCTGAGGTCAGGAGTTCAAGACCGACGGGGCCAATATGGCAAAACCTCGTCTCTACTAAAAATACAAAAATTAGCTGGGCGTGGTGGTGCACATCTGTGATTCCAGCTACCCAGGAGGCTGAGGCAAGAGACTCACTGGAGCCCGGGAGGAGGAGATTCCGGTGAGCTGACGTCACGTCACTGCACTTGAGCCTGGATCACAGAGTGAGAATCTGTCTCAAAATAAATAGATAATAAAAAAATCAATAGATAAATCTGGGACCGCTGGGCATGGTGGCTCATGCCTGTAATCCCAGCTCTTAGGGAGGCAGAGGCGGGAGGATAGCTTGAGCCCAGGAGTTTGAGACCTGCTCGGGCAATATAGCGAGACCCCGTTCTCCACAAAAAGGAAAAAACAGAAACATAAATGTGGGAACATCATGATTTTGGGTGTCACCTTGGTGCAGGGGCCAGGGTAGTCTCTATTATTCCAATGTTTTTTTTATGTGTACCACCAAAGCAATCACTTATGTATAGGAATTATTTTTCTGTGAGCATACAATTTATGGAATTTTCTTTGAGACAGGGTCTCAAAAATATGATGTATATTTCATCATATTCATATGAATAATATACACACAAAGTGCTGTTGTAAATACAGAGAATATTCTGATATTAGGTAATTTTTAAAAATATGTGTGTGTGTGTGTGTGTGTGTGTGTGTGTGTGTGTGTGTTTTGTTTGCTTGGTTATTTTTGAGACAAGGGCTGGCTCTATTGCCCAGACTGGGGTGCGGTAGTGTGATCTCAGCTCAGTGTACCTTCTGCCTCCCACCGAAGCCTGCTGAATTAGTGTCTACACACACGCACCACCACATCGGGCTAACTCTTGTATTTTTTGTACATGTGGGGTTACACCATGTTGCTGAGGCTGGTCTGGAACTCCTGAGCTCAGGTGATCCTCCTGTCTTGACCTTTTAAAATGCTGGGATTATGGCCGGGCGCGGTGGCTCACGCCTGTAATCCCAGCACTTTGGGAGGCCGAGGCAAGTGGATCCTGAGGTCAAGAAATCGAGACCATCCTGGTCAACATGGTGAAACCCCGTCTTTACTAAAGATACAAAAAATTAGCTGGGCATGGTGGCGCGTGCCTGTAATCCCAGCTACTCAGGAGGCTGAGGCAGGAGAATTGCCTGAACCCAGGAGGTGGAGGTTGTGGTGAGCCGAGATCGCGCCATTACACTCCAGCCTGGGTAACAAGAGCGAAACTCCGTATCAAAAAAATAAATAAAATAAAATGCTGGGATTAGAGGTGTGAGCCACCGCATCCCACCCATACTTGCTTTTTTCTGTCCAAATTTCATTAAGGAGTTTTTATGACCTAGCCCGTGGTCTATCCTGGAGAATATTTGTGTGTACGACACTGTATGTTCTTCAACATTGTAAGCTCCATTTTAGATGCTCCCATCGGGACGTGTCCCTGTGCTGGATCTTAAGTGAACACTTGACTCAACATCCATTGTTCTTCTCTAGAAATCCAGCCCAGTTCTCTTGGTGAAAGATAAGGTATGTCTAGAGGGCATTGCTTTTTGTCTTTGGGAAGAAAGTCAGTAGGATTGAGCTTTGATGGACAAGGCTAACCTAGTGAGCTTTTTAAGCAAGGAACTGGAGATGGTTCTTTTAGGGGTTTATGTTCTGGATTGCAGAAAATATGCAAACATAGGCCGGGCGCGGTGGCTCACGCCTGTAATCCCAGCACTTTGGGAGGCCGAGGCCGGTGGATCACGAGATCAAGAGATCGAGACCATCCTGGTCAACACGGTGAAACCCCGTCTCTACTAAAATACAAAAAATTAGCTGGGCATGGTGGCACGTGCCTGTAATCCCAGCTACTCGGGAGGCTGAGGCAGGAGAATCGCCTGAACCCAGGAGGCGGAGGTTGCGGTGAGCCGAGATCGCGCCATTGCACTCCAGCCTGGGTAACAAGAGCGAAACTCCGTCTCAAAAAAAAAAGAAAGAAAATGTGCAAACATGGCAAATAAATGCGTCTTTACTTTTGTTTCCTGTTTAACCTGGTCAAGGAAAATTCCAACAAATAACCCAGAGTACCTTACCAACAAGATCCAAGCTGTGACCTTGTAGAGGGAAGCGAGTTCTGTATTCTGAAAAAGCCTTCAGCCCTTTAGAGCGTTACCGTTTGAGAAAGAACACTGAAGCGAATGCTGATCGTGGTAATACATTTGCCGAGCACGCTTATAGTCAGACTTGGATGATGTCGAGGTTCCGTTTCGGTTTTGTTTTTGTTTTCTAAGACAGGGTCTGTGTTGCCCAGGCTGGAGTACAGTGGCACTTCCAACCTAGGTATCTTGGGCTCAAATTGTTGTCTTTTTGGGGGCGTTCTCGCTCTGTGATCCAGGCTGGAGCGCAGTGCCAGCAACTAAGCTGACTGCAACCTCCGCCTCCTGGTTCAGGCGATTCTCCTGACTCAGCTTTTCAAGTACCTGGGATTACAGGTGCACATACCACAACACCCAGCTAATATTTTTGAATTCGGGTCTTCCTGTTGTTCAGGATGGAGTGCAGTGGCACAATCTCGGCTCACGGCAACCTCTATCTCCTGAGTTCAAGCAGTTCTCCTGCCTCAGCCTCCCGAGTAGCTGGAATTACAGAAACACAGCACCACAGCAGGCTACTTTGTGTATTTTTCCTTTTTTTTAGTGGAGATGGAGTTTCACCATGTTGGACAGGCTGGTCTCAAACTCCAGACCTTGTGATCTGCCTGCCTAGGCCTCCCAAAGTGCTGGGATTAAAGGCATGAGCCGTTGCTCCCAATCGGGGTTTGGGTTTTTATTGGGTAAATAAAAGTAAAGTGCAGGATGCATGACGAAGTCATAAGTGCACATTTAGTGTAATTATTTTATTTTAGAGACAATGGTCTTACTCTGACTTTAGAGATCTTCCTGCCTCCGCCCCTCCCCACTTTCTTGTACCTGGGACAGTAGGCGAACATTAGTATGACGTTTGAAACCACCACTCTAGTTTGGAGATTTTCATCACCCCACAGAGGCTTATGCCCACGTGCAGTCGCTGCCCTCCCCACTCCTCCACCCAGACCCTGGCAGCCTCTCCACATCTCTCTAGCTCTGGATCTGCGGCTTGTGGGCATGTCACATAGACCGATCTTGAATGGGTGGCCTGTTGAGGATAATGGGTGGTCCTGGCTGTCTGCAGTGTGAATCTTACCACTGAAGGGTGGTCCCTGGAGGGAAGAGGAGGCTGGGAGAAGTGGGCAGAACATCCTTTGGGAAGGGAGTGGGGCGGGCAGAGCCTGAGGTCTGGGAAGCTCACAAGGTGGCAAACCCCATGTTCCTTCCTGAGAACTGCGATGTGACCCCCCTGGGGCCCTGGAAGGAGTGAAGGCATCAGGACTGGGAACAGCAGGGCACTGAGCGGTGCAGGCAGGATGAGCCAAGGGGAGAGGAGAGCCAGGCATGGCTAACCTCGGACAGTTTGGGTTTGATCTGGACAGAGCAGGTGTCTTCTGGGAGGGAGCCCCTGGGATTTTCACTCTGCCTCTGGGTGTCTTTCAGTCATGGAATCTGATGACAAAGCGTCCCACCCAGGGCCACTTCATTTGGTTTCTGGAGCCCATTGATCCTTCCTGCCTGGAGTCGGGATCTTTGGGGGAACTTTGGGATCTGGCCAGGCATCTGCAGAATCATAGAAACCCCTAACAGTCCCTTTGCTTTGCTGTCATCTCTGTGTTCCTGCCTATTACCTTCCAAAGGAGACCCTTAACTGAATTACCAACGGGGGCTTTCCAGGGCGTGGTTTAGTTTATATTTCAGGTCAACAGTTTATTTGAGATATACTTGAACTAGAAATGATTGACTGTTTAGGTGGGGGCTGTTGTTTTCTCTAGTTTTATTTATTTTTTTTTTTAAGCTGGATTTTCTCTCTCATCACCCAGGCTGGAGTGAAAGGGCGTGATCTTGGCTCCCTGCGACCTCCGCCTCCCTGGTTCAAGTGATTCTCCTGCCTCAGCCTTCCAAGTATGTGGGATTACAGGTGCGCACCAGCATACCTGGCTACTTCTTGTATTTTTGGTAGGGACAGTGTTTCACCATGTTGACTGGGTTGGTCTCTAACTCACGACCTCAGGTGATCCGCCCACATCAGCCTTTGAAAGTGCTGCAATTGCAGGCATGAGCCACTGTGTCCGGCTTCTTTTCCTAATTTTAAATATGGGGCCATCATGAATTTGGGTGTCACCTTGGTGCCGGGGCCATGGTAATCTCTGTCTTTCCATTTATTTCCATGTGTGCTGCCGAAGAAGGCACATGTGTAAAAACTATTCTTCACATGAGAATGAAATGTATGCCACTTTGTTTTATTTGAGACAGGGTCTGAAAAATAAATGACGTACATTTGATTTTTTTTTTTTTTTTTTTTTTTTTTTTTTGAGATGCAGTTTCGCTCTTGTTTCCCAGGCTGGAGTGCAATGGTGAGATCTCAGCTCACTGAAATCTCCGCCTCCCGGGATCAAGCGATTTTCCTGCCTCGACCTCCCTAGTAGCTGGGATTACAGGCATGTGCCACCACACGTGGCTCATTTAGCGTTTTTAGTAGGGACAGGGCTTCACCATATTGGCCAGGATGGTCTGCATGTCTTGACCTCATGATCTGCCTGTCTGGGCCTTTCAAAGTGTCCGGATTACAGGCATGAGCCACTGTGTCTGGCCAAATGTTTTGTATTTTTAGTAGAGATGGGGTTTTGCCAGGCTGGTTGTGAACTTCTGACTTCAGGTAATACGCCCACCTCCACCTCGGAAAGTGCTGAAATCACAGGTGTGAGACACCATGCCTGGCCTTGTGTATTTCTTTTTTTTTTCTTCTTTGAAACAGAGTTTCGCTCTTGTTACCCAGGCTGGAGTGCAATGGCACGATCTCGGCTCACCGCAACCTCTGCCTCCTGGGTTCAGGCAATTCTCCTGCCTCAGCCTCCTGAGTAGCTGGGACTACAGGCATGCGCCACCATGCCCAGCTAATTTTTGTATTTTTAGTAGAGACAGGGTTTCACCATGTTGACCAGGTTGGTCTCGATCTCTTGACCTTGTGATCCACCGGCCTGGGCCTCCCAAAGTGCTGGGATTACAGACGTGAGCCACCGCGCCTGGCATGTATTACTTTTCAAAATTTATGAAGAAGCTTTTATGGCCTAGCCCATGGTCTGTCCTGGAGGATGTCTGTGAGTGCCAGTGTTTATTCTTCACTATCTTAGATTCCATTTTGGATGCTTCCATAAGGACTGTGCATCCCTGTGCTGGAACTCAAGTGAACACTTGGCTCAACATCCATTGCTCTTCTCTAGAAATCCAGCCAATGCTCGTGGTGAAAGATAAGGTACGTCTAGTGGGCATTGCTTTTTCTCTTTGGGGACATAACTCAGGAGGATTGTCCCTTGATGAACAAGGCTGCCCTGCTGAGCCTTTGAAGCAAGGAACTGGAGATGGTCCTTTTAGGGGTTTATGTTCTGGGTTCCAGAAAAGGTGCAAACCGGGCAAATGAATGGATGTTTAGTTTTGCGTTCTGTTTAACCAGGGCAAGGAACATTCCAACAAAAACCCAGAGTGCTTGATCAAGAGGATCTCATGCTGTGACCCTCTAGAAGGAAGCGAGTTCTGTGTTCTGAACAAAAGTACTCGCAGCCCTCTAGAGCGTTACCGTTTGAGGAGAGCGACGTTGAGGTTCGTGCTGATCTCGGCAGTGCGTTTGCAGAGCATGCTTGTGGTCAGACGGGGATGATGTAGGGTTCTGGCTTTTTATGTTTTGTTTTGTTTTTACCACAGCAGTGTGTCTGTTGCTCAGGCTGGTGTCGGTGGCACTTCGAGCGAGACCTCTGGAACTCAAGTGGTCCTCTTTTTTTTAATTTATATTATATTTTTTTCGAGACGGAGTTTCGCTCTTGTTACCCAGGCTGGAGTGCAATGGCACGATCTCGGCTCACCGCAACCTCCGCCTCCTGGGTTCAGGCGATTCTCCTGCCTCACCCTCCTGAGTAGCTGGGATTACAGGCACGCGCCACCATGCCCAGCTAATTTTTTGTATTTTTAGTAGAGACGGGGTTTCACCATGTTGACCAGGATGGTCTCAATCTCTTGACCTCGTGATCCCCCCGCCTCGGCCTCCCAAAGTGCTGGAGCAAGAAGATCTCATGCGGTGATTCTCCAATGGGAAGCACTTCTTGTTGTCTGAAATAAAACAAAGTGCTTCCTTTTAGAGAGTTACCGTCTGAGAAAAACAACGTTGAAGGTGATGCCGATCTTGGTAATACATTCTAATCAGACTCGCGTGAGGTTGGGGTTTTGTCCTTGTTTAGATTTTTCCCAACACAGGGTGTCCGCTGCCCAGGCTGGAGTGTGGTAACACTTCCAGGCTAGACTCTTGGACTCAAGTGTTTCCCCCCGCCTGCCATTTTTTCCTTCAGACAGCTCTGTGGCTCAGTCTGGAGAACAGTGGCACATTCTCTGCTCACTGCAACCTCTGCCTCCTGAGTGGCCGAGGTTATAGGTGAGCCCCACCACACTTGGCTAATTTTTGTATCTTTATTTTTAATTTTTGTATTTTTAGGAGCGGCGGAGTTTCACCATGTTGGCCAGGTTAGTCTCAACCTCCTGAATTCACATGATCCAGCTGCCTCGTCCTCCAAAAATCCTTGTATTCTAGGCGTGAGCCACCCTGCCTGTCCTGTAATTATTTATTTCATGCGTGCTGCCAAACCCAGCAATTACGTGTAGGGATTTTTAAATTTAAGCATATAGTATATGGAACATTTTTTTTTCAGACAGGGTCTCAAAAATATATGATGTGTATTTGATCATATATGCTTATCATATATAACACAGTCACATACCCACAGATCCCCTTCTACACACACACAATACTCTGATATCTCTTTGGGTGTTTTTTTATTTGTTTGTGTGGTTTTGTTTTGCGACAAGGTCTGGCTCTGTCACCCAGGCTGCAGTGCAGTGGTGCCATCTCGGCTTGCGGCCAACTCCACCTGCCACGTCAGCCTTCGGAGTCACTGGGTGTGGGCGCACATCTCCATACCCAGCTGAGTATTGTATTTTTTGTTGTTGTTGACCAGGATGGTGTCGATCTCTTGACCTCGTGATCCACCCGCCTCGGCCTCCCAAAGTGCTGGGATTACAGGCTTGAGCCACCGCGCCGGGCAGTTCTCTTTATGTTTTGAGATGCACACTGGCTGTATTGCCCAGGCTTGAGTGTGGTGATGAGCTCTGCTCACAACAAACTTGGTCTCACAGTTTCCAGCGATTCTCCCACCTAAACCTGCCAAATAGTTGGGAATGCAGGTGCCTGCCATCACCCCCTGCTAATTTTATGTATTTTTTCTTTTTTTTTTTTGAGACAGAGTTTTGTTCCTGTTGCTTAGGCTGGAGTGAACGGCACCAACTCAGCTCACGACAAACTTGGCCGCCCAGGTTCAACCGATTCTCCTGCCTCAGCCTCCCGGGCACACTTCCTGTACTGGAACTCAAGTAAGTACTTGGATTTTTGAAGAAAGGAACTAGAGATGGTCCTTGTAGGGGTTTATGTCCTGGATTCCAAAAAACATCCAAACAGGGCCAATAAATGCATCTTTATTTTTTTGTCCATTTTAACCTGCTCAAGGAAAAGTCCAAGAAAAAACCCTGAGTGCTGGAGCAGGAAGGTCTCATGCTGTGACCCTCTAAAGCCAGGTGCTTTCTGTTGTCTGAAAGCAAACAAAGGCCTTCCCTTTAGACCATTACCGTTTGAGAAAAGCCACATGGAAGTTGATGCAGATCTTGATAATATATTTGCAAAGCATGCGTTTCACCAGACTTGGATGATACTGAGATTCTGTTTTGTTTTGCTTTCTAAGACAGGGTCTCTGTTCCCCCAGGCTGCAGCACAGTGACACTCCCAGCTTCTGTCTCTTGGGCTCCAATGGTCCTCCTTTGGGGGCAGAGTCCAACTCTGTGACCCAGCTGTAGTGCAGCTCCAGGAACGTTGCCCCCGACAGCCTCGGGCTCCCCAGTTTCAGTGATTCTCCTGCCCCAGCTTTCCAAGTATCTAGGATTACAGGTGCATACCACACACCCAGTTAATATTTGTAGTTTTTTAACTATTCATTTATTTTGACATTAAATCTCACTGTGGTCCAGGGTGGAGGGACGGGACACAATCTCGGTTCACTGCAACCTCCACCACCAACCACAGCCTTCCGAATAACTGTCTGCAGGAATTCACCACCACACCTGTCTAACTTACGTATTTTTTGTACGTATTTTTTGCTGTCTTGCCCAGGGCTCAAGTGATTCTCCAGACTCGGCCTCTTAAAGTGCTGGGAGTAGAGGTGTGAGCCACTGTACCACACCCATATTCTGCACTTCTGTTCTCTCTATTTTATGTATATATTTATTTTTTAGAGGTAGTATCACTCTGTAGCCCAGGCTGGAGTGCAGTGGCATGATCTCGGCTCACTGCAACCTCCCCCTCCCGGGTTCAAGCAATTCTTCTGCCTCAGCCTCCTAAGTAGCTGGGATCAAGGTCCCTGTTACCATGGGAGTCTAATTTTTGCATTTTTAGTAGAGACAGAGTTTCATCATATTGGCCAAGCTGGTCTCCTGACCTCAGGTAATCCGCCGACCTTGGCCTCCTAAAGTACTCAGGTTACAGTCTTGAGCCACCGCACCTGACCTTCTGCTCAAATCCTATTGACCTTTCACTGCCTTACCTATGGTCTGTCCTGAAGAATGAGTATACAGCGATGTCCGTTCTGCAGCATCTTAGATTTCATTTTGGATGCTCCGATTGGGTCTGTGTGTCCCTGTACCGGAACTCAAGTGAACACTGGGTGAAAATCCATTGCTATTTTCTAGAAATACAGTCCAATCTCTTGGTTAAATACAATGTATGCCTAGCAAGCATTGCTTTTTCTCTTTGGGGACTAAATCAGGAGGATTGCTCCTTCATGATCAAGGCTGCCCTGCTGAGCCTTTGAAGGAAGGAACTAGAGATGCTCCTTCTAGGGGTTTATACTCTGGATTCCAGAAACAGGCAAACAGGGACAATGAATGCATCATTTCTGTGTGTCCGTTTTCACCTGGTCAGGGAAAATTTCACAAAAATCCCACAGTCCCGGAGCAGGAAGATGTCATGCTGTGACCCTCTAAAGGGTGGTGCGTTCTGTTGTCTAAAAGAAAAGCATCGAACGCGCCCCCCTTTAGGGGGTAACTGTGAGAAAAGCAAGGTGGAAGTGGATGCTGATCTTGGTAAGACGTTTGCAGAGCGTGCTTCTAATCAGACTTGCATGAGGTCGGGGTCTGTTTTTGGTTTTTTTCTAAGACAGGGTCTTTGTTGCCCGGGCTGGAGTGTGGTGACACTTTCAGCCTCCATCTTTTGGGTTCAACAGGTCCTTTTGTTTTTCTTTCTTGAGGGAGAATCTGGCGGTGACACCCAGGCTGGAGTGCAATGGTGCGATATCGGCTCACGACAGCCTCCCCACTCCCGGGTTCAAGTGATTGTTTGACCTCAGCGTCCCGCATAGCTGGGATTACAGGTAAGTGGCACCATGCCTGGCTAATTGTTGTGGTTTCAGCCGAGACAGGGTTTCACCATGTTGGCTATGCTGGTCTCTAGTGGTCCTCTTCATTCAGCCCTGCAGGTATCTGGACTACATGGGGCATCCCACCACCCTTGGCTAAGTTTTCAGTTTTTGAAAGAGATGGGGTCTCTCTTGTCAGAAAGGTCCCCACTCCTGAGTTCAGGGGACCCCACAGTATGAGGCTCTGTGTCTTGACGACTCATTTCAAAGATAGTTGACATGGGCAGACATCGGGCACAGGGTCCCAGCTACTGCAGAGCCTGGGTGGGAGGGTCCTTTGATTTCTAGGCTATACCAAGAACTCACCACACCTTTGATCCTGAGTAGCTGGGATTACAGGCACCACCACCACGCCCAGTGACTTTTTATATTTTTAGTAAAGATGGGTTTTACCGTGTTGACCAGGCAGATCTTGAATGCCTGACTTGGGGTGATACACCCACCTTGGGTGCTGGGATGACAGGTGTGAGCCGCTGTGCCCGGCTCCCTGTCCTAATTTTCAGTATGGGAATTCATCATGTGAGGGTCACCCTAGTCCAGGGGCCATGACAGTCTTTGTCAGTCCATGTATGTGTATGTGTGCTGCCGAAACAAGCACTTACGTGTAGGAATTATTCTTTATGTGAGTGTACAATAGATGGAGCTTTCTTTCATTTGAGACCGGGTCTCAAAAATAAATGATGTACATTTGATCGTATAATCTTATTGTATACACAATATAATTATATACACAAAATACTGTTCTTCACTCAGTTAAGGCTCATATCACTTTGGGGTTATTTTTGCTTGTGTGCTTTCTTGGGGTCTTTTTGAGACAAGGTCTCGCCCTGTTGCCCAGACCTGGAGTGTGGTGGCTTGACCTCAGCTCACTGCAACCTCCGCCTCCCACCTCAGCCTCCTGAATAGCTGTCTGCAGGCATGCACCCCACACCTGGCTACCTTTTAGAATTTTTGTACAGATGAGGTTTTGTCATATTGCGCAGGCTGTTCCAAACTCCTGAGCCCGAGTGATCCTCCAGCTTCAGTCTCCTACAGTGCTGGGATTAGAGGGTGGTCCACCGCACTTCACCCACGCTGGTGTATTTCTGTTCCTTTATTTCTAACTCTGTCAGGCTGGAGTGCAGTGGCATAATAGCTCACTGCAATCTCTGCCTCCCAGATTCAAGCAATTCTTCTGCCTCAGCCTTTTGAGTAGCTGGGATTACACGTTACCATGAGAGTATAATTTTTGCATTTTTAGTAGAGACAGGGTTTCATCATGTTGTCCACGCTGGTCTCCAACTCTAGATCTCAGGTGATCCACCTTGGCCTCCTAAAGTGCTAAGATTATAATCGTGAGCCACCGCACCAGACCTTCTGCTCAAATTCTATTGAGGAGCTTTTCCTGCCTGTGGTCTATTCTGAAGAACGTGTGTAGGACTATGTCCATTCTGTGGCATCTTAGATTTCATTTTGGATGCTCTGATTGGGTCTGTGTGTCCCTGTACCGGAACTCAAGTGAACACTGGGTGAAAATCCATTGCTGTTCTCTAGAAATCCAGCCCAATCTCCTGGTTAAATACAATGTATGTCTAGCAAGCATTGCTTTTTCTCTTTGGGGACTAAATCAGGAGGATTACTCCTTCATGATCAAGGCTGCCCTGCTGAGCCTTTGAAGGAAGGAACTAGAGATGCTCCTTTTAGGGGTTTATACTCTGGATTCCAGAAACAGGCAAACAGGGCCAATGAATGCATCATTTCTGTGTGTCCGTTTTCACCTGGTCAGGGAAAATGTCACAAAAATCCCACGGTCCCGGAGCAGGAAGATGTCACGCTGTGACCCTCTAAAGGGTGGTGCGTTCTGTTGTCTAAAAGAAAAGCATCGAACGCGCCCCCCTTTAGGGGGTAACTGTGAGAAAAGCAAGGTGGAGGTGGATGCTGATCTTGGTAAGACGTTTGCAGAGCGTGCTTCTAATCAGGCTTACGTGAGGTCGGGGTCTGTTTCTGCTTTTTTTCTAAGACGGGGTCTTTCTTGCCCAGGCTGGAGTGTGGTGACACTTCCAACCTCCATCTTTTGGGTTCAACAGGTCCTTTTGTTTTTCTTTCTTGAGAGCGAATCTGGTGGTGACACCCAGGCTGGAGTGCAATGGTGCGATATCGGCTCACGGCAGCCTCCCCTTTCCGGGTTCAAGTGATTTTTTAATCTCGGCTTCCCGCGTAGCTGGGATTACAGGTAAGTGGCACCATGCCCGGCTAATTGTTGTGCTTTCAGCAGAGACAGGGTTTCACCATGTTGCTGTGCTGGTCTCCAGTGGTCCTCTTGATTTAGCTCTGCAGGTATCGGGACTACATGGGGCGTTCCACCACACTTGGCTAAGTTTTCAGTTTTTGATAGAGATGGGGTGTCTCTTGCCAGAAAGGTCCCCACTCCTGAGTTCAGGGGACCCCACAGAATGAGGCTCCGTGTCTTGACGACTCATTTCAAAGATAGTTGATATGGACAGACATCGGGCACAGGGTCCCAGCGACTGCAGAGCCTGGGTGAGAGGGTTCTTTGATTTACAGGCACACGTTACTATGAGTCTCATGTTTGCATTTTGTTTTGTTTTGTTTTGAGATGGGGTTTCGCTTTTGTTACCCAGGCTGGAGTGCAATGGTGCGATCTCGGCTCACCACAACCTCCGCCTCCTGGGTTCAAGCAATTCTCCTGCCTCAGCCTCCCGAGTAGCTGGGATTATAGGCACGCACCACCATGCCCAGCTAATTTTTGTATTTTTAGTAGAGATGGGCTTTCACCTTGTTGACCAGGATGGTCTCGATCTCTTGACCTCATGATCCACCTGCCTCAGTCTCCCAAAGTGCTGGGATTACAGGTGTGAGCCACCGCACCCGGTCTCATTTTTGCATTTTTAGTAGAGACATGATTTTATCCTGTTGGCCAGGCTCATCTTGAACTCCTGGCCTCAGGTGATATGCCAACCTTGGCGTTCTAAATTACTGAGTTTACAGTCTTGAGCCACCGCACCTCCCCTTCTGCTCTAATTTTATTGACGACCTTTCACTGCCTTGCCTATCGTCTATCCTGAAGAATGTGTGTATGACTGTGTCCATTCTTAACTCCTTAGATTCATTTTGGATGCTCTTGTACTGGTCTGTGTGTCCCTGTACTGGATCTCTCAAATGAACACTGGCCTAAAATCCATTGCTGTTCTCTAGAAATCCAGCCCAATCTCCTGGTTAAATACAATGTATGTCTAGCAAGCATTGCTTTTTCTCTTTGGGGACTAAATCAGGAGGATTGCTCCTTCATGATCAAGGCTGCCCTGCTGAGCCTTTGAAGGAAGGAACTAGAGATGCTCCTTCTAGGGGTTTATACTCTGGATTCCAGAAACAGGCAAACAGGGACAATGAATGCATCATTTCTGTGTGTCCGTTTTCACCTGGTCAGGGAAAATTTCACAAAAATCCCACGGTCCCGGAGCAGGAAGATGTCACGCTGTGACCCTCTAAAGGGTGGTGCGTTCTGTTGTCTAAAAGAAAAGCATCGAACGCGCCCCCCTTTAGGGGGTAACTGTGAGAAAAGCAAGGTGGAGGTGGATGCTGATCCTGGTAAGACGTTTGCAGAGCATGCTTCTAATCAGACTTGCGTGAGGTCGGGGTCTCTTTCTGCTTTTTTTCTAAGACAGGGTCTTTGTTGCCCAGGCTGGATGTGGTGACGCTTAAACCTACATCTTTGGGTTCAACAGGTTTTTTTGTTTTTCTTTCTTGAGAGAGAATCTGGTGGTGACACCCAGGCTGGAGTGCAATGGTGTGATATCGGCTCACGGCAGCCTCCCCTTCCCGGGTTCAAGTGATTGTTTGACCTCAGCGTCCCGCATAGCTGGGATTACAGGTAAGTGGCACCATGCCAGGCTAATTGTTGCTTTCAGCAGAGACAGGGTTTCACCATGTTGGCTATGCTGGTCTCGAGTGTTCCTCTTCATTCAGCCCTGCAGGTACCGGGACTACATGGGGCGTGGCACTATACTTGGCTAAGTTTTCAGTTTTTGATAGAGATGGGGTCTCTCTTGTCAGAAAGGTCCCCACTCCTGAGTTCAGGGGACCCCACAGTATGAGGCTCCGTGTCTTGACGACTCATTTCAAAGACAGTTGACATGGGCAGATATCGGGCACAGGGCCCCAGCTACTGCAGAGTCTGGGTGGGAGGGTCCTTTGATTTCTAGGCTATACCAAGAACTCAGCACACCTTTGATCCTGAGTAGCTGGGATTACAGGCACCACCACCACGCCCAGCGACTTTTTGTATTTTTAGTAAAGATGGGTTTTACCGTGTTGACCAGGCTGATCTTGAATGCCTGACTTGGGTGATACACCCACCTTGGGTGCTGGGATGACAGGTGTGAGCCGCTGTGCCTGGCTCCCTGTCCTAATTTTCAGTATGGGATTCATCATGACTGTGAGGGTCACCTTAGTGCAGGACCATTGCAGTCTCTGTCAGTCCGTGTATGTTTATGTGTGCTGCCGAAACAAGCCCTTACGTGTAGGAATTATTCTTTATGTGAGTGTACAATAGATGAACTTTCTTTCATTTGAGACCGGGTCTCAAAAATAAATGATGTACATTTGATCATATAATATTATTGTATACACAATATAATTATATACACAAAATACTGTTCTTCACACAGTAAAGGCTCATATCACTTTGGGGTTATTTTTGCTTGTGTGCTCTCTTGGGGTCTTTTTGAGACAAGGTCTCGCCCTGTCGCCCAGACCTGGAGTGTGGTGGCTTGACCTCAGCTCACTGCAACCTCCGCCTCCCACCTCAGCCTCCTGAATAGGTGTCTGCAGGCATGCACCCGACACCTGGCTACCTTTTAGAATTTTTGTACAGATGAGATTTTGTCATATTGCACAGGCTGTTTCAAACTCCTGAGCCCAAGTGATCCTCCAGCTTCGGCCTCCTACAGTGCTGGGATTAGAGGGTGGTCCACCACACTTCACCCACGCTTGTGTGTTTGTTCCTTTTCTTCTAACTCTGTCTCTGGGGCTGGAGTGCAGTGGCATAATCTCAGTTTACTGCAATCTCTGCCTCCCAGATTCAAGCAATTCTTCTGTCTCAGCCTTTTGAGTAGCTGGGATTACAGGTTACCATGAGAGTGTAATTTTTTTGCATTTTTAGTAGAGACAGGGTTTCATCATGTTGGCTCCTGACCTCAGGTGATCCACCCACCCTGGCCTCCTAAATTGCTGAGATTATAATCGTGAGCCACCGCACCAGACCTTCTGCTCAAATTCTATTGAGGAGCTTTTCCTGCCCTGCCTGTGATCTATTCTGAAGAACGTGTGTAGGGCTATGTCCATTCTGTGGCATCTTAGATTTCATTTTGGATGCTCTGATTGGGTCTGTGTGGCCCTGTACTGGAACTCAAGTAAACACTGGGTAAAAACCCATTGCTGTTCTCTAGAAATCCAGCCCAATCTCCTGGTTAAATACAATGTATGTCTAGCAAGCATTGCTTTTTCTCTTTGGGGACTAAATCAGGAGGATTGCTCCTTCATGATCAAGGCTGCCCTGCTGAGCCTTTGAAGGAAGGAACTAGAGATGCTCCTTCTAGGGGTTTATACTCTGGATTCCAGAAACAGGCAAACAGGGACAATGAATGCATCATTTCTGTGTGTCCGTTTTCACCTGGTCAGGGAAAATGTCACAAAAATCCCACGGTCCCGGAGCAGGAAGATGTCACGCTGTGACCCTCTAAAGGGTGGTGCGTTCTGTTGTCTAAAAGAAAAGCATCGAACGCGCCCCCCTTTAGGGGGTAACTGTGAGAAAAGCAAGGTGGAGGTGGATGCTGATCCTGGTAAGACGTTTGCAGAGCGTGCTTCTAATCAGACTTGAGTGAGGTCGGGGTCTGTTTCTGCTTTTTTTCTAAGACGGGGTCTTTGTTGCCCAGGCTGGATGTCGTGACGCTTCCAACCTCGATCTTTGGGTTCAACAGGTTTTTTTGTTTTTCTTTCTTGAGAGAAACTGGCGGTGTCACCCAGGCTGGAGTGTAATGGTGCGATATCGGCTCACGGCAGCCTCCCCTTTCCGGGTTCAAGTGATTTTTTAACCTCGGCTTCCCGCGTAGCTGGGATTACAGGTAAGTGGCACCATGCCCGGCTAATTGTTGTGCTTTCAGCAGAGACAGGGTTTCACCATGTTGCTGTGCTGGTCTCCAGTGGTCCTCTTGATTTAGCTCTGCAGGTATCGGGACTACATGGGGCGTCCCACCACACTTGGCTAAGTTTTCAGTTTTTGATAGAGATGGGGTCTCTCTTGTCAGAAAGGTCCCCACTCCTGAGTTCAGTGGACCCCACAGAATGAGGCTCCGTGTCTTGATGACTCATTTCAAAGATAGTTGATACGGACAGACATCGGGCACAGGGTCCCAGCGACTGCAGAGCCTGGGTGAGAGGGTTCTTTGATTTACAGGCACACGTTACTATGAGTCTCATGTTTGCATTTTGTTTTGTTTTGTTTTGAGATGGGGTTTCGCTTTTGTTACCCAGGCTGGAGTGCAATGGTGCGATCTCGGCTCACCACAACCTCCGCCTCCTGGGTTCAAGCAATTCTCCTGCCTCAGCCTCCCGAGTAGCTGGGATTACAGGCGTGCACCACCATGCCCAGCTAATTTTTGTATTTTTAGTAGAGATGGGCTTTCACCTTGTTGACCAGGATGGTCTCGATCTCTTGACCTCATGATCCACCTGCCTCAGTCTCCCAAAGTGCTGGGATTACAGGTGTGAGCCACCGCACCCGGTCTCATTTTTGCATTTTTAGTAGAGACATGATTTTATCCTGTTGGCCAGGCTCATCTTGAACTCCTGGCCTCAGGTGATATGCCAACCTTGGCGTTCTAAATTACTGAGTTTACAGTCTTGAGCCACCGCACCTCCCCTTCTGCTCTAATTTTATTGACGACCTTTCACTGCCTTGCCTATCGTCTATTCTGAAGAACGTGTGTAGGACTATGTCCATTCTGTGGCATCTTAGATTTCATTTTGGATGCTCTGATTGGGTCTGTGTGGCCCTGTACTGGAACTCAAGTGAACACTGGCTCAAAACCCATTGCTGTTCTCTAGAAATCCAGCCCAATCTCCTGGTTAAATACAATGTATGTCTAGCAAGCATTGCTTTTTCTCTTTGGGGACTAAATCAGCAGGATTGCTCCTTCATGATCAAGGCTGCCCTGCTGAGCCTTTGAAGGAAGGAACTAGAGATGCTCCTTCTAGGGGTTTATACTCTGGATTCCAGAAACAGGCAAACAGGGACAATGAATGCATCATTTCTGTGTGTCCGTTTTCACCTGGTCAGGGAAAATGTCACAAAAATCCCACGGTCCCGGAGCAGGAAGATGTCACGCTGTGACCCTCTAAAGGGTGGTGCGTTCTGTTGTCTAAAAGAAAAGCATCGAACGCGCCCCCCTTTAGGGGGTAACTGTGAGAAAAGCAAGGTGGAGGTGGATGCTGATCTTGGTAAGACATTTGCAGAGCGTGCTTCTAATCAGGCTTGCGTGAGGTCGGGGTCTGTTTTTGCTTTACTTTTCTTTCTAAGACAGGGTCTTTGTTCCCCAGGCTAGAGTGTGGTGACACTTTCAACCTAGATATTTTGAGTTCAACAGGTCCTTTTGTTTTTCTTCCTTGAGAGAGAATCTGGTGGTGACACCCAGGCTGGAGTGCAATGATGTGATATTGGCTCATGGCAGCCCCCCTTTCCCAGGTTCTAGTGATTCCTTTTTTTTTTTTCTTTGAGACTGAGTTTGGCTGTTGTTACCCAGGCTGGAGTGCAGTGGCACGATCTCGGCTCACCTCAGCCTCCGCCTCCTGGGTTCAAGCAATCCTCCTGTCTCAGCCTCCTGAGTAGCTGGGACTACAGGCGCGCACCACCATGCCCAGCTAATTTTTGTATTTTTAGTAGAGACAGGGTTTCACCTTGTTGACCAGGATGGTCTCCATCTCTTGACCTGGTGATCCACTCACCTCATCCTTCCAAAGTGCTGGCATTATAGGCGTGAGCCACCACACCCGGCTAATTTTTGTGCTTTCAGCAGAGACAAGGTTTCACCATGCTGCTGTGCTGGCTCAAGAGGTCCTCTTTTTTCTCTTTCTTAGATGAGTCTCGTAGTGATGCCCAGGCTGGAGTACAATGGTGCAATATCTGTCAGCTCACTGCAGCCTCCTTCTTCCAAGTTCGCACGATTTTTTACCTCAGCCTCCCTAGTAACTGGGATTTCAGTGCCGCTACACTTAGCTAAGTTTTGTATTTTTAGCAGAGACACGGTTTCACCATGTTGACTAGGCTGGTCTCAACCCCTGACCTCAAGTGATCCACCTCTCTTGCCTCACGTAGTGCTGGAACTACAGGTGTGAGCCATTGTGGCAAGCCTGATTTTTATATTATAGACACAGTGGTCCAGAAGGGTGGTCCCTGGAGGGAAGAGGAGGCTGGGATAACTGGGCAGAACATCCTTTGGGAATGGAGGGGGGCGGGCAGAGCCTGAGATCTGGGAACCTCACAAGGTGTCAAACCCCATGTCCCTCCCTGAGAACTGCAAGGTGACCCCCCTGGGGCCCTGGAAGGAGTGAAGGCATCAGGACTGGGAACAGCAGGGCACTGAGCGGTGCAGGCAGGATGAGCCGGGGGGAAAAGAGAGCCAGGCATGACTGACTGGGGACAGTTAGGGTTTGATCTGGATGGAGCAGGTATCTTCTGGGAGAGCCCCTGGGATTTTCACTCTGCTCCTTGGCTGTCTTTCAGTCACGGAATCTGATGACAGACTCCTGCCCAGGGCCAGGTCATTTGGTTTGTGGAGTCGAGCGGTCCTTCCTGCCTGGACTCGAGATCTTTTGGGGAAGTTTGGGATCTGGCCGGGCATCTTCATAATCCATTGAAACCCCTGGCAGTCCCTTCTCTTTTCTGAGATCTCTGTGTTCCCACCTGTTCCCTTCCAAAGGAGACGCTTTGCCAAACAGGGCTCCCAGGACAGGGATAGATACCTTGTTACTTCAGCTAAACAGCATACCTGGTATGTACTTGAACAGGAAATGATTTGCTGTTTAGGTGTGAGAAATATTTTTTTTATACTCTTAAATATGGAACCCATCACGAATTTGGCAGGCTACATGGTGATCTGTCATTCCATGTATTTAATGTGTACTGTGAAAGCACACCCTGAAGTGTGGGAATTATTGTTCACATGAGCATGGTTGAGGATCAGCACAGACATTTCCATTTTTACACAGTTCTTTTTTTTTTTTTTTTTTGAGTCATAGTTTTGCTTTTATTGCCCAGACTGAAATGACAGTGGCATGTTCTTGGCTCACTGCAACCTCTGCCTCCCAGGTTTAATGATTCTCCTGCCTCAGCCTCCTGAGTAGCTAGGATTGCAGGCACCTGCCACCATGCCCATCTAATTTTTTATATTTTTAGTAGAAATAGTTTTCACCATGTTGGTCAGGCTGGTCTCAAACTCCTGACCTAATGTGATATACCCACTTCCATCTCCCAAAATGCTGGCATTATAGGTGTGAGCCACCATACCCAGCCAATGTACACAATTCTTATTGTGCATACCAAAAATCTACATAGCCATGAATTCTAATTATTTTACGGAGTTATTCCAGTGACTTTCCAGCTTAAAACTGGGAAACAGATTTTCCGTAAGAGGCTATCTAGGCTGGTTGCGGTGGCTCACGCCTGTAATCCCAGCCCTTTGGGAGGCCGAGGCGGGTGGATCACGAGGTCAAGAGATCGAGACCATCCTGGCCAACATGGTGAAACCCCGTGTCTACTAAATACAAAGAAAATTAGGCATCGTGGCGCATGCCTGTAATCCCAGCTACTTGGGAGGCTGAGACAGGAGAATCGTTTGAACCCAGGAGGCGGAGGCTGCGTTGAGCCGAGAATGCGTCATTGCATTCCAGCCTGGGTAACAAGAGCGAAACCCCATCTCAAAAAAAAAAAAAAAAAGGCTATCAAGTACCAGTATCTGTACACTACCTCTTCCCAAAAAAAAAAAAAATTTTTTTTTTTTTTACACAAAGTCTCACTCCATCACCAGGCTAGAGCACAGTAGCTCAATCTCAGCTCCCTGCAATGTCTGCCTCCTGGGTTCAAGCCCTTCTGCCTCAGCCTCCCGAATAGCAGGAACTACAGGCAGCCGCCCACACCCAGCTAATTTTTGTATTTTCAGTAGAGGTGGGGTTTCACCACGTTGGTGGATAGTCTCCATCGCTTGACCTTGTGATCCACCCACCTTGGGTCTCTCAGAGTGTTGGAATCATAGGCATCAGCCACTGTGTCTGGCCAAAGGTTTTGTATTTTTAGTAGAGATAGAGTTTGGTGTGTTGGCCAGGCTGGTTTTGAACTTCTGACCTCAGGTGATGCACCTGCCTCTGCCTCCCAAAGTGCTGAAATGATAGGCATGAGCCACCTCGCCTGGCCTTGTGTATTTCTGTTCAAAATGTGTTGAGTAACTTTCATGGCCTAGCCTGTGGTATATCCTGGAGGAAGTTTGTGTGTATAACAGTGCATATGCTTCCATATCTTAGATTCCATTTCGGATACTTCCATTGGGACTCTGCATCCCTGTGCTGGAACTCAAGTGAACACTTGGCTCAACATCCATTGCTCTTCTCTAGAAATTCAGCCCAATTCTTATGGTTTCATATAAGGTATGTCTATTGGGCATTGCTTTTTCTTTTCTGGAACAAAACTCAGGAGTATATACCTTTGATGAACAAGGCTATCCTGCTGAGCCTTTGAAGCAACGAACTGGAGATAGTCTTTTCAGGGGTTTATATTCTGGATTCCAGAAAATGCGCAAACAGGGCAAATAAATGTACTTTTACTTTTCTGCCCTGTTTAACATGGTCAAGGACAATCACAGCAGAAAAACTCAGAGTGCTGGAGCAAGAAGATCTCAAGCTGTGACCCTCTAGAGGGAAGCGCATTCTGTATTCTAAAAAAAAAAAAGAAATCGCAGCCCTCTAGAGCATTACCGTTTGAGAAAAGCAAGGTTGAAGTTGATGCCGATCTGGGTAATACATTTGCAGAGCACGCTTATAGTCAGACTTGGATGAGGTTGGGGTTCTGTTTTTGTTTTGTCTTTTTCCAAGGCGAGGTCTCTGTTGCCCAGGATGGAGTGGGTGGCACTTCCAGCAACATCTCTCGATCTCAGGTGGTCCTCTTTTTATTTATTTTAATTTTTTAAGACCCACTCTCCCTCTGTTGCCCAGGCTGGTGTACAGTGGCAGGATCTCTGCTCAGCGGAAACTCCACCTCCCAGACTGCAGGGTTTCTCCCACCTCAGCCTGCTGAATAGTTGGAAATACAGGCGCCTGCCCTCACGCCCTGCTAATGGTTGTTTGTTTGAGATGAAGTTTTGCTCTTGTTGCCCAGGCTGGAGTGCAACGGCGCAGTCTCAGCTCACCACTACCTCCGCCAACTGGGTTCAACTGATTCTCCTGCCTCAGCCTCCCAGATAGCTGGGATTACAGGCGCTTGCCACCACACCCAGCTAATTTTTGTGTTTTCAGTAGAGAAGGGGTTTCACCATGTTGAACAGCCTGGTCTCAAACTCCTGACCTCAGGCAATCAGCACACCTTGACCTCCCAAAGTGCTGGGATCACAGGTCTGAGCCACCACACGTAGCCCCAAGTGGTCCTGTTGGGTCAGCCTAGGTCTGTGCTGGAGGATGTTTGTGTGCGTGACGGTGCATATTCTTCAACATCTTAGATTCCATTTTGGTTTCTCCCATCAGGACTGTGTGTCCCTGTGCTGGAACTCAGGTGATCGCTTGGCTCAACATCCATTGCTGTTCTCTAGAAATTCAGCCACATTCTCTTGGTGAAAGATAAGGTACGTCTAGTGGGCGTTGCTTTCTCTCTTTGGGAATAAAACTCAGGAGGATTGCCCCGTGGTGAACAAGGCTGACCTGCCGAGCCTTTGAAGCAAGGAACTGGAGATGGTCCTTTTAGGGGTTTATGTTCTGGATTCCAGGAAATGTACAAACAGGGAAAATGAATGCATCGTTATTTTTGTGTTCTGTTTAACCTGGTCAAGGAAAATTCCAAGAAGAAAACCCGGAGTGCGGGAGCAAGAAGGTCTCAAGCTGTGACCCTCTAGAGGGAGGCGCATTCTGTATTCTGAAAAAAAAAGAACTCGCAGCCCTCTAGAGCGTTACCGTTTGAGAAAAGCAAGGTTGAAGCTGATGCCGATCTTGGTAGTACTTCTGCAGAGTATGCTTCTAGTGAAACTTGGATGATGTTGAGGTTCTGTGGTGTTTTTTTGTTTTGTTTTGTTTTGTTTTTTCCCAAGGCAGGGTCTCTGTGTTCAGGCTGAAGTGGGTGGCATTTCCAGTGAGATCTCCTGAACTCAAGTGGTCCTCTTTTTATTTTTTCATATTTTATTTATTTATTTATAGATGGAGTCTCTCTGTCATCCAGGATAGAGTTTAGTGGTGAAATCTCCACTCACTGCAACCTCCACCTGGGTTCAAGCAATTCTACTGCTTCAGCCTCCCAAGTAGCTGAGACTACAGACTTGTGCCACGGCGCCCAGATGATTTTTTTGTATTTTTAGTAGAAACAGGGTTTCATCATGTTAGCCAGGATGGTCTTGATCTACCAACCTCGTACTGGGATTACAGGCGTGAGCCACCACAGCCAACCTATTTTTTTAATTTTTAAGATGCATGCTTGCTCTGTTGCCCAGGCTGGAGTGCAGTGGCAGGATCTCTGCTCACCAGAAACTCCACCTCCCAGGTGCCAGGGATTCTCCCAACTCGGCCTGCTGAATAGTTGGGAATACAGGCGCCTGCCATCACACCCTGCTAACATTTCTTGGTTTTGTTTGTTTGTTTGAGACAAAGTGCACACTTGGCTCAACATCTATTGCTCTTCTCTAGAAATCCAGCCAATGCTCATGGTCAAATATAAGGTGTGTCTAATAGACATTGCTTCTTCTTTTTGGGAACAAAGGTCAGGAACATTGCACTTTGATGAGGGGGGCTAACCCGCTGAGCCTTTGAAGCAAAGAACTGGAGACGGTTCTTTTAGGGGCGTATATTCTGGATTCCAGAAAATGTGCTAACAGGAAAAATAAATGCATCTTTATTTTTGCATCCTGTTTAACCTGGTCAAGGAAAATTCCAGCAACAAAACCCGGAGTGCCAGAGCAAGAAGATCTCAAGCTGTGACCCTCTAGAGGGAAGCACGTTCTGTATTCTAAAGAAAAGAACTTGAAGCCCTCTAGAGCGTTACCGTTTGGGAAAGCAACGCTGAAGCTGATGCTGATCTTGGTAATACATCTGCAGAGCACGCTTATAGTCAGACTTGGATGAGGCTGGGATTCTGTTTTTGCTTTGTCTTGTTCCAAGGCGGGGTCTCTTGAACTCGTTATGTTCTTTTATTTTTATTTATTTATTTTGAGACGGAGTTTCCCTCTTGTTACCCAGGCTGGAGCGCAATGGCGCGATCTCGGCTCACCAGAAACATCGCCACCCACGTTGAAGCAATTCTCCTGCCTCACCCTTCCAGGTAGCTGGAATTACGGGCACCCACCACCACACTCAGGTGATTACAGTGCTTTTAGTAGAGACAGGATTTCACCATGTTGGCCAGCCTGGTCACGAGCTCCCGACTTCAGGTCATCCACCCACCTCAGCCTTCCAAAGTGCTAGGATTACAGGCATGAGTCACCGTGCCTAGCCTCAAGTGGTCCTCTTGAGTCAGCCTAGACTGTGATCTATCCTGGAGGATGTCTGTGTGTGTGACGGTGCATATTCTTCAACATTTTCCATTCCATTTTGGATGCTCCCATCAGGACTGTGTGTCCCTGTACTGGATGGAACTCAGGTGGACACTTGGCTCAACATCCATTGCTCTTCTCTAGAAATTCAGCCCAATTCTCTTGGTGGAAGATAAGGTATGTCTAGTGGGCATTGCTTTTTCTCTTTGGGGACAAAACTGAGGAGGAGGATTGCCCCTTGATGAACAAGGCTAACCTGCTGAGCCTTTGAAGCAAGAAGCTAGAGATGGTCCTTTTAGAGGTTTATGTTCTGGATTCCAGAAAATACGCAGACAGGGCAAATGAATGCATCTTTAGTTTATGTCCATTTTAGCCTGTCCAAGGAAATTTCCAACCAAAAGCCTGGAGGGCTGGGGCAAGAAGATCTCACGCTGTGGCCCTCCAAAGGGAAGTGCTTTCTGTTATCTGAAAAAAAAAAAGAAAGGCCTTCCCTTTAGAGTGTTACTGTTTGAGGAAAGCAGCGTTAACGCTGGTGCTGACCTCGGTAATACATTTGCAGAGCACGCTTATCGTCAGACTTGGATGATGTTGCGCTTCTGTCCCGCCTCCCGAGTCCCTGGGACTACAAGTGTGGACCACCACACCCAGCTAATTTTTGTATTTTTGTAGAGATGGGGGTTCACCGTGTTGGTCAGGCTAGTCTCGAACTCCTGACCTCAGGTGATCCACCTGCCCTGACCTTCCATAGTGTGGGGATTACAGGCATGAGCCACCATGCTTGGCCTTGTTTTTGTTTTCTAGGACAGAGTACAGTGGCACCTCCAACCTAGGTTTCTTGGGCTCAAATGGTCCTCATTTTGGGGGCAGAGTCTCACTCTGTGCCCCAGGCTGGAGTGCAGTGCCAGGAACTTTGCTCACTGCAACCTCTGCCCCCCAAATTCAAGCGATTCTCCTGCCTCTGCTTTCCAAGTATCTAGGATTACAGGCGTACACCACAACACCAAGCTAATATTTGTAGTTTTTTTATTATTCATTTACTTACTTATTTTTGAGACTGAGTCTCTCTGTTGCCCAGGGTGGAGAGACGTGGCATGATCTCGGCTCACTGAAACCTCCACCTCCCACCTCAGCCTCCTGAATAGTTGTCTGCAGGCTTGTACCACCACATCTGGCTAATTTTGTATTTTTTGTACAGATGAGCTTTCACCATGTTGCCCAGGCTGCTTTCAAACTCCTGAGCTCAAGCGATCCTCCCGCCTCGGCCTCCTAAAGTTCAGGAAATGAAGGTGTTAGCCACTGCACCCCACCCATACTTGTGTTTTTTAAAACTCCATCTTTAAAAAAAAAAAAATAACACCCTTTCGTTGTTATTGTTGAGATGGAGTCTCACTCTCTCTCTCTCAGGCCGGAGTGGCATGACCTCGACTCACTGCAACATCTGCCTCCTAGGTTCAAGAGATTCTTCTGCCTCCGCCTCTTGAGTAGCTGGGAATACAGACACACGCCAGCATGCCTGTCTCATTTCTGTATTTTTAGTAGAGACGGAGTTTCAACATGTTGGCCAGGCTGGTCTCAAACGTCCAACCTCAAATGATCCACCTACCTTGGCCTCCCAAACTGTTGGGATTGCAGGCGTGAACCACCACAGCTGGCCATTGTGCACAATTCTTAACATACATACCATAAATCTAAAAAGCCATGTATTGTAATTCTTTTACTAAGTTATTGCAGTGACTTTCCAGCTTAAAATTTTGAAGCAAATTTTTAAGAGGCTGTCAAGGCCAGACGCAGTGGATCACTAGGTCAAGAGATCGAGACCATCCTGGTCAAAAAGTCCCATCTCTACTAAAAATACAAAAATTAGCTGGGCATGGTGGTGCGCGCCTATAGTCCCAGCTACTCAGGAGGCTGAGGCAGGAGAATTGCTTGAACCCAGAAGGCGGAGGTTGCAGTGAGCCGAGATCGTGCCATTGCACTCCAGCCTGGGTAACAATAGCGAAACTCCATCTTTAAAAAAAAAAAAAAAAGAGGCTATCAAGTACCAGTATCTTCACATGTTGAAAAGCTGTTATATACATCCCACCAATTCACAACTGAAAAGCATGTGTAGTACATATTCAAAAAATATATATTAATATATATATGTATATCGATATTTATATATTTTTTGACATGAAGTCTTGCTCTTGTCGCCCAGCCTGGAGTGCAATGGCAAGATCTTGGCTCACTGCAACCTCCAACTCCCAGGTTCAAGTAATTTTCCTGCCTCAGCCTCCCAAGTAGCTGGGATTACAGGCAGCCGCCACCACGGCCTGGCTAATTTTTGTATTTTCAGTAGAGACAGGATTTCACAACATTGGTCAGGCTGGTCTTGAACTCCTGACCTCAGTTTATCCACCCACCTCGACATCCCGAAGTGTTGGGGTTGCACGCGTGAGCCACCGTTTTTTGAGGTGAAGTCTCGCTCCGTTGCAAGGCTGGAGTGCAGTGCACGATCTTGGCTCACTTGCTCACTTGGCTCACTTTGTATTTTTAGTAGTGATGCGGTTTCTCCAGGTTGGCCAGGATGGTCTCCATCTCTTGACCTTGTCGTCTTCCTGCCTCTGCCTTTCAAAGTGCTGTGATTATACGCATGAGCCCCTGCGTTGGGCTGAGTTTTTTGTATTTTTAGTTGAGATGGGCTTTCACCATGTTGGCCAGGCTGGTTTCAAGCGTCTGACCTCGGGTGATGTGCCCGCCTCTGCCCCCCAAAGTGCTGAATGTATAGGGATGAGGCACCACGCCTGGCCTTATGTATTTCTGTTCAAAATTTAGTGAGAAACTTCTATGGCCTAGCCTGTGGTGTATCCTGGAGGAAGTGTGTGTGTATAACAGTGCATATTCTTCCATATCATAGACTTTCAGATGCTGCCACAAGGACTGTGTGTCCTGTTTAACCTCGTCAAGGAAAATCCCGACAAAGAGCCCAGAGTGCTGACCAGGAAGGTCTCAAGCTGTGACCCTCTAGAGGGATGCACGTTCTGTATTCTAAAGAAAAGAACTCGCAGCCCTCTAGAGCGTTACCGTTTGAGAAAAGCAACGTTGAAGTTGATGCTGATCTGGGTAATACATTTGCAGAGCACGCTTATAGTCAGACTTGGATGAGGTTGGGGTTCTGTTTATGTTTTTTTTTTAAACACGGCAGGGTCTCTATTGCCCAGGCTGGAGTGGGTGGCACTTCCAGAGAGATCTCTCAACCTCCAGTGGTCCTCCTTTTATTGTATTTTTTGAGGCGCACTTGCTCCATTGCCCATGCTGGAGTGTAGTGGCAGGATCTCTGCTCACCTGAAACTCCACCTCCCAGATCCAGCCTGTCATCACGCCCTGCTAATGTTTTTTGTTTGTTTGTTTGTGAGGAGTTTTTGCTCTTTTTACCCAGGCAGGAATGCAGTGGTGCAATCTTGGCTCAGCACTACCTGTGCCACCCAGATTCAAGCGATTCTCCTGCCTCAGACTCTCGGGTAGCTTGGATTGCTGGCACCTGCCACCACACCCAGCTAATTTTTGTGTTTTTAGTAGAGATAGGGTTTCACAACGTTGGCCATGCTGGTCTCAAACTCCTGAGCTCAGATGATCCACCCACCTTGACCTCCCAAAGTGCTAGGATTACAGGCATCAGCCACCGTGCCTCGCCTCAGGTGGTCCTCTTGAGTCAGCCTAGCCTGTGGTCTATCCTGAAGGATGTTTGTGTGTGTGACGGTGCATATTCTTCAACATCTTAGATTCCATTTTGGTTTCTCCCATCAGGACTGTGTGTCCCTGTGCTGGAACTCAGGTGAACGCTTGGCTCAACATCCATTGCTGTTCTCTAGAAATTCAGCCACATTCTCTTGGTGAAAGATAAGGTATGTCTAGTGGGCGTTGCTTTTTCTTTTTCAGAAGAAAACTCAGGATTGCCCTTTGATGAACAAGGCTAACCTGCTGAGCCTTTGAAGCAAGGAACTGGAGATGGTCCTTTAATGGGTTTATGTTCTGGATTCCAGAAATGTACAAACAGGGAAATTAATGCATCTTTAGTTTTGTGTCCCGTTTAACCTGGTGAAGGAAAATTCCAACAAAAAACCCAGAGTGCGGGAGCAAGAAGATCTCATGCTGTGACCCTCTAAAGGGGGGTGTGTTCTGTTGTGTGAAAGGAAACACACGCCATCCCTTTGGAGCGTTACCGTTTGAGAAAAGCAGCGTTGGAGTTGATGCTGATCTTGGTGAGATGCACTTGCAGAGCACGCCTGTAGTCCGACCTGGGTGATGTTAGGGCTCTGTTTTTGTTTTGATTTTCTTCTAATGGAGGGTCTCTGATGCCCAGGCTGAGTGGGTGGCAATTCCAGTGAGATCTCTTGAACTCAGGTGGTTCTCTTTTTATTTTTTTAAATGAAATTTAATTTATTTAGAGATGGAGTCTCGCTCTGTCACCCAGGAGGGAGTGCAGTGGCAGGATCTTGATCACCGCGACCTCTGCCACCTGGGTTCAAGCAATTCTCCTGCCTCAGCCTCCCGAGTAGCTGTAACTACAGGCATGTGCCACCACGCCTGGCTAATTTTTCATATTTTTAATAGAAATGGGGTTTCACTGTGTTAGCCAAAATGGTCTCCATCTCTTGACCTCATGATCTGCCCTCCTCAGCCTCCCAGAGTGCTAGGATTACAGACGTGAGCCACTGCGCCCAGCCTCAAGTGGGCCTCCTGAGTCATCCTCCCAAGTAATTGGGACTACCTGGGCTTGCCACCACACTTGGCTACGTTTTTAATTTTTTGTACAGATGTGGTGTCTATTGCTCAGGAAGGTCTTAACTCCTGAGCTCAGGCGATTCCACAGGTATGACCCACCTTCTCCTGCTGACCCATTTCAAAGGTAGTTGACACGTCAAGGTGTAGTGAGCCTCAGTCTCAGCTACTGCAGATGCGGGAGTGGGTGGGTCCTTTGATTTCCAGACTACAACACGCACTGTTCACACTTTGTTTAGTTTTTTTGTTTTTGAGACAGTCTCACTTTGCTGCACAGCCAGGAGTGCAGTGGCACAATCTTGGTTCACTGCAACCTCTGCCTTCCAGGTTCAGCAATTTTTTTTTTTTTTTGAGACGGAGTTTCACTCTTGTTACCCAGGCTGGAGTGCAATGGCGCGATCTCGGCTCACCGCAACCTCCGCCTCCTGTGTTCAAGCGATTCTCCTGCCTCAGCCTCCCGAGTAGCTGGGATTACAGGCACGCACCACCATGCCCAGCTAATTTTTTGTATTTTTAGTAGAGAGGGGGTTTCACCATGTTGACCAGGATGGTCTCGATCTCTTGACCTTGTGATCCACCCGCCTTGGCTCCCAAAGTGCTGGGATTACAGGCGTGAGCCACCGCGCCCTGTCGGTTTGTTCATTTCATACACTGGTCTTCATCAACTTAGTTTAGTTAATCAAAACCAATTTTCCTTTTTAAGAGAGTGACTATCCGGTCTCTTCAGTAATCCCCAATGGATGTCAATATTAATAAAATTTCTTTTTTCTTATTCATTCTTCTTTTTTTTTTTGAGATGAAGTCTTGGCCTGTCTCCCAGGCTGGAGTGCAGTGGTGTGATCTCGGCTCACTGCAACCTCCGCATCTTAGGTTCAAGCAATTCTCCTGCCTCAGCCTCCTGAGTAGCTGGGATTACAGGCACCTGGAACCGTGCCCAGCTAATTTTTGTATTTTTAGTATAGATGATGTTTTGCCTTGTTGGCTACACTGGTCTCAAACTCTTGACCTTGTGATCCACCCACCCGGGATTGCAGGCATGAGCCAGCACACCCGGCTGGCAATGTGTATTTTTAAAAATCATCTTTGATTTCATTTCTGATGCACCCATTGGGATGCTGTGTCCCAGTACTGGAAGTCAAATCAGCACTTGCCTCAAAATCCATTGCTGTTGCCTAGAAATCCAGCCCAGTTCTCTTGGTTAAATATAAAGTATGTCTGGTAGGCATTGTTTTTTCTCTTTGGAGGCAAAACTCAGGAGGATTTCCTTTTGATGAACAAGGCTAACCTGCTGAGCCTTTAAAACAAGGACCTGGAGATGGTCCTTTTAGGGGTTTATGTTCTGGATTCCAGAAAACATGCAAACGTGGGCAATATATGTATCTTTCGTTTAGTGTCCCTTTTAACCTAGTCGAGGAAGATTCCAGCAAGAAACGCAGAGTGCTGGAGCAAGAACTCACGTGGTGATTCTCCAGTGGGAAGCATTTTTCTTGTCTGAAATAAAACAAGGTGCTTCCTTCTAGAGAGCAACTCCGAGAACATCCGCGTTGAAGTTGATGCTGATCTTGGTAACACATCTGAAGAACATGCTTAAAATCAGATTTGCACGATGTTGGGATTTTGTTTTTGTTTAGGTTTTCCCAAAACAGGGTGTCTGTTGCCCAGGCTGCAGTGTGGTGGCACTTCTAACCTAGATCTCTTGGGCTCAAGTGGTCACCACCCTTTTTTTTTTTCTTGCAACAGAGTCTCAGTCTGTGGCTCAGTCTGGAGGACAGTGGCACATTCTCTGCTCACTGCAACCTCTGTCTTCTGAGTAGCTGAAGTTACACACTCTCACACTTGGCTAATTGTTGTATTTTTAGAAGAGATGGAGTTTTACCACGCTGGAGAGGTTAGTCTTGAACTCCTGACCTCAGGTGACCCATCCACCTCAGCCTCCCAAAGTGCTGGGATTACTGGCATGAGGCACCCAGCCCTGACTTCAACTTTTTTTTAATGTGTAAAGCAGGCACTTATGTGTAGAAATTATTTTATGGCCAGGCGTGGTGGCTCATGCATGTAATCCAAGCACTTTGGAGGCCAAGGCGGATGGATCACCTGAGGTCGGGAGTTCAAGAACAGCCTGACCAACATGGTGAAACCCCGTCTTAATTTAAAAAAAAAAAAAAAAAGAAATCATTTTACATGTGAGCATATAGTATATGGAACATTCTTGTTTTCAGACAGGGTCTCAAAAATATATGATTATATATATTCCTCATATATATATATAATATGGTCATGTACGCACAAAATCCTCTTCTCCACACAGACAATACTCTTATATCATTTAACATATTATTTTATTTCTTTGTTTGTGTGGTTTTGCTTGGTTTGGTTTTGTTTTGAGACAAGGTCTGGCTCCCTTGCCCGGGCTGCGGTGCAGCAGCGTGATCTTGGCTCTCTGCAACCTCCACCTCAGCCTTCTGAGTCGCTGGCCACACCACCACCCTCAGCTAACTTCCGCATCTTTTGTATACATAACACTTTACCATGGTATCCACGCTGGTCTTGAACTCCAAAGCTCAAGTGATTCTCCTGCCTTGGCCTCCTAAAATACTGTTTAGCGGTCTCACCCAGCACGCCTCACCTGGACCTGTGTATTTCTGCTCAAATTTTATAGAGGAGCTTTTACGGCGTATCCTGTGGTCTGTCTTGGAGGATGTCTCTGTGTGTGACAATATATATTCTTCAGCCTCTTAGATTCCATTTTGGATGCTCCCGTCGTGACTGTGTGTGCCTCTGTACTGGAACTCAAGTGCACACTTGGTTCAGCATCCGTTGCTGTTCTCTGGAAATCCTGTCCAGCTCTCTTGGGTAAAGATAAGGTATGTGTAGTGGGCATTGCTTTTTCTCTTTGGAAACGTAACTCAGGAGGATTGCCCCTTGGTGAACAAGGCTGACCTGCTGAGCCTCTGAAGCAAGGAACTGGAGATGTCCTTTTAAAGATTTATGTTCTGGATTCCAGAAAACCTGCAAATAGGGCCAATGAATGTGTCTTTATTTTTGTGTCCATTTTAACCATTTTCACCTGGTCAAGGAAGATTTCAACAGAAAACCCAGAGTGCTGGAGCAAGATCTCACTCTGTGGCGCTCTAAAGGAAAGCACTTTCTGTTAGAAATAAATGAATGAGTTTTCCTTTAGGGAGTCGCCGTCTGAGAAAAGCAGCATTGAAGTTGACGCTGATGTTGGTAATACATTTGCAGAGCATGCTGATAATCAGACTTGGATGATGCGGAAGTTCTGTTGTGTTTTTGTTTTCTGAGATGGGGTATCTGCCCAGGCTGGAATGCAGTGGTGCTATCTCAGCTCACTACAACCTGCACCTCCCACCTTAGCCTCCTGAATAGCTGTGTGCAGGGACGCACCACCACACCTGGCTAACTTTTGTATTTTATGTACAGATGAGGTATCACCATGTTGCCCAGGCTGGTCTCAAACTCCTGAGCTCAAGTGATCCTCCAGCCTCGGCCTCCTAAAGTGCTAGGAATAGAGGTGTGAGCTGCACTCCATTCATACTTGAGTATTTCTGTTCTTTTATTTATTATTTTTTTTAGATGGGGTCTCACTCTGTTGCCCAGGCTGGAGTGCAGTGACATGATCTTGGCTCACTGCAACCTCTGCCTCCCAGGTTCAAGTGATTCTTCTGCCTCTTGACTAGCTGGAATTACAGGCATGTGCCACCACACCATTTTAATTTTTGTATTTTTAGTAGAGACAGTGTTTCATCATGTTGCCCAGGCTGGTCTCAACTCTTGAACTCAAGTGACCCGCCCACCTCAGCCCACCAAAGTGCTGAGATTACAGTCGTGAGCCACCGCACCTGGCGTCTGTCCAAATCTTACTCAGGAGTTTTCACTGGCTAGACTACGGTCTGTCCTGAAGAATGTGTGTACAGCTGTGTACATTCTTCAGCATGTTAGATTCCATTTGGATGCTTCCATCTGGACTGTGTGTCCCTGTGCTGGAACTCAAGTGAACACTTGGCTCAACATCCGTTGCTGTTTTCTAGAAATTCTGCCCAATTCTCTTGGTTAAAGGTAAAGGCATAACTAGCAGACCTTGCATTTTCTCTTTGGAGACATAGCTCAGGAGGATTGCCCCTTGATGAACAAGGCTCACCTGCTGAGCCTTTGAAATAAGGACCTGCAGATAGTTGCTTTAGGGGTTTATGTTCTGGCTTCCAGAAAACCCACAAAGAGGAACATTAAATATGTCTTTATTTGTGTGTCTTGTTTAACCTGGTAAGGAAAATCCCAACAAAAACTCAGAGTGCTGGAGCGAGAAGATCTCATGCGGTGATTCTCCAAGGGGAGGCATTTTTGTCGTGTGAAATAAAACAAAGTGCCTCCTTTTAGAGAGTTACTGCTTGAGAAAAACAACGTGGACGCTGACGCTGATCTTGGTAATACATGGAAGAGCATGCTTATAATCAGACTTGCATGATACTGGGGTTTGCTTATAGTTTAGATTTTTCCCAACACAGGGTGTTTATTGCCCAGGCTGGAGTGTGGAGGCACTTCCAACCTAGATCTCTTGGGCTCAAGTGGTTCCCTTCCCTTTTTTTTTTTTTTTGAGACGGAGTTTCGCTCTTGTTACCCAGGCTGGAGTGCAATGGCGCGATCTCGGCTCACCGCAACCTCCACCTTCTGGGTTCAGGTGATTCTCCTGCCTCAGCCTCCCGAGTAGCTGGGATTACAGGCACACGCCACCATGCCCAGCTTATTTTTTGTATTTTTAGTAGAGACGGGGTTTCACCATGTTGACCAGGATGGTCTCGATCTCTTGACCTCGTGATCCACCTGCCACGGCCTCCCAAAGTGCTGGGATTATAGGCGTGAGCCACCGCACCTGGCCGAACATTAGGTTTTTTAAGACAGAGTCTCAGAAATACATAATGTATAGTTTATCATATATGCTTACCGTGTATAATATAGTCCTATACACACATGCCCTCTTCTGCACACAGAAGATACTTTTATATCACTTTGAATATTTTTGTATTTGTTAGTTGGTGTGGTTTGGTTTCGTTCTGAGAGACGGTCTGGCTCTGTCACCCAGGCTGGAGTGCAGTGTTGCCATCTTGGCATGCTGCAACCTCCACCTGCCACCTCAGCCTTCTGAGTCACTGTTAACGAGGCGCGCAACGCCACACCCGGATAACTTTTGTATTTTTTATACACACAAGCTTTTACCATGTTGGCCATGCTGGTCTTGAACTCCTGAGCTCAAGTGAGTTTCCCGCCTTGGCCTTCTAAAGTGCTGGGTTTAGTGGTGGGAGCCTCCGCGCCCCACCTTTACCTGTGTGTTTCTGCTCACATTTTATTGAGGGGCTTTTACAGTGTAGCCTGGGTCCTGTCCTGGAGGACGTCTGTGTGTCTGACAATGTGTATTCTTCAACGTCTTAGATTCCGTTTCGGATGCTCCCGTCAGGACTGTGTGTGTCACTGGAATGGAACTCAAGTGCCTACTTGGTTGGGTCAACATCCGTTGCTATTCTCTGGAACTTTTGCCCCATTCTCTTGGGTAACGATAAGGTATGTGTAGTGGGCATTGCCTTTTCTCTTTGGAAACGTAACTCTGGAGGATTGCCCCGTGGTGAACAAGGCTGACCTGCTGAGCCTCTGAAGCAAGGAACTGGAGATGGTCCTTTTAAGGATTTATGTTCTGGGTTCCAGAAAACAGGCCAACAGGACCAATGGATGTGACTTTATTTCTGTGGCCATTTTAACCTGGTCAAGGAAAACTCCAGTCCACTGAGCTGAAGCAAGATGATGTCAGGCTGTGACCTTCTAGAGGGAAGCACTTTCTGTTGTCTGAAATAAAAGAAAGTGTTTCCTTTTAGGTGGTTACGGTTTGAGAAAAGCAACGTTGAAGTTGTTGCCAATGTTGGTAATACATTTGCAGAGCATGCTTCTAATCAGACTTGGATATGGTGGGGTCTCGCTTTTGTTTTTGTTTTGTTTTGTTTTGTTTTGTTTTGAGATGGAGTTTTGCTCTTGTTACCCAGGCTGGAGTGCAATGGCGCGATCTCGGCTCACCGCAACCTCCGCCTCCTGGGTTCAGGCGATTCTCCTGCCTCAGCCTCCTGAGTAGCTGGGATTACAGGCACATGCCACCATGCCCAGCTAATTTTTGTATTTTTAGTAGAGACGGGGTTTCGCCATGTTGACCAGGATGGTCTCGATCTCTTGACCCCATGATCCACCCGCCTCGGCATCCCAAAGAGTTATTTTTTTTTTTTTTTTGTTATTTATGAGACGGGGTTTCGCTCTTGTTACCCAGGCTGGAGTGCAATGGCGCGATCTTGGCTCACCGCAACCTCCGCCTCCTGGGTTCAGGCGATTCTCCTGCCTCAGCCTCCTGAGTAGCTGGGATTACAGGCACGCGCCACCATGCCCAGCTGAGTTTTGTATTTTTAGTAGAGACGGGGTTTCACCATGTTGACCAGGATGGTGTCAATCTCTTGACCTGGTGATCCACCCGCCTCGGCCTCCCAAAGTGCTGGGATTACAGGCTTGAGTCACCGTGCCCGGCCTTGCTTTTGTTTTGTTTTATTCCAAGACAAGGTCTCTGTTGCCCAGGCTGGAGTGGGTGGTGCTTTTTATTATTATTATTTTAAACTAAGGCCAGTATGTTGGTTTCACCATGTTGGCCAGGCTGTTCTTAAAATCACAACCTCAGGTGATCACCCACCTCGGCCTCCCAAAGTGCTGGGATTACAGGCGTGTGAGCCACGGCGTCTAGCCTCAAGTGGTCCTCTTGAGTCAGCCTAGACTGCGGTCCATGCTGGAGGCTGTCTGTGTGTGTGACGGTGCATATTCTTCGACATCTTAGATTCCATTTTGGTTTCTCCCATCAGGACTGTGTGTCCCTGTGCTGGAACTGAGGTGGACACTTGGCTCAACATCCATTGCTGTTCTCTAGAAATTCAGCCCAATTCTCTTGGTGGAAGATAAGGTATGTCTAGTGGGCATTGCTTTTTCTCTTTGGGGACAAAACTGAGGAGGAGGATTGTCCCTTGATGAACAAGGCTAACCTGCTGAGCCTTTGAAGCAAGAAGCTAGAGATGGTCCTTTTAGAGGTTTATGTTCTGGATTCCAGAAAACATGCAGACAGGGCAAATGAATGCATCTTTAGTTTATGTCCATTTTAGCCTGGAAATTTCCAACCAAAAGCCTGGAGGGCTAGACCAAGAAGATCTCACGCTGTGGCCCTCCAAAGGGAAGTGCTTTCTGCTGTCTGAAAAAAAAAGAAAGGCCTTCCCTTTAGAGTGTTACAGTTTGAGAAAAACAACATTGAAGATGACGCTGATCTTGGTAACATGTTTGAAAGACATACTTATAATCAGACTTGCATGATGGGGTTTCTTTTTATTTTTATTTTTTATAAATTTAAACGTATTTTAACTTGTATAATTAAAAATTAAAATTTGGCCAGGTGCAGTGGCTCAAGCCTGTAATCCCAGCACTTTGGGAGGCTGAGGTGGGTGGATCATGAGGTCAAGAGATCGAGACCATCCTGGTCAACATGGTGAAACCCCGTCTCTACTAAAAATACAAAACTTAGCTGGGCATGGTGGCGCATGCCTGTAATCCCAGCTACTCAGGAGGCTGAGGCAGGAGAATTGCCTGAACCCAGGAGGCGGAGGTTACGGTGAGCCGAGATCGCACCATTGCACTCCAGCCTGGGTAACAAGAGCGAAACTCCGTCTCAAAAAAAAGAAAAGATAAGGTATGTCTAGTGGGCATTGTCTTTTCTCTTTGGAGACATAACTCAGGAGGATTGCCCCTTGATGAACAAGGCTCACCTGCTGAGCCTTTGAAGCAAGAAACTGAAGATGGTCCTTTTAAAGATTTATGTTCTGGGTTCCAGAAAACCTGCAAACAGGCCCAATGAATGTGTCTTTATTTTCTGTCCATTTTAGCCTGCTCAAAGAAAACTTCAACAGAAGGCCCAGAGTGATGGAGCAAGATCTCACGCTGTGACGCTCCAAAGGAAAGCACTTTCTGTTGTCTGAAAGAAATGAATGTGTCTTCCTTTAGAGAGTCATTGTTTGAGAAGAACAATGTCGGATTGTTGCTGATGTTGGTGATGCATTTGCAGAGCGTGCTTCTAATCAGACTTGGATGATGTCAAGGTTCTGTTTTGGTTTTGTTTTTGTTTTCTAAGATAAGGACTGTGTTGTGTTGCCCAGGCTGGAGTGTGATGGTGCGATCTCAGCTGACTGCAATCCCCGCCTCTCGCCTCAGCCTTCTAAGTAGCTGTCTACAGGTACGCACCAGCACACCTGGCTAACTTTTGTATTTCATGTACAGATGAGGTTTCAACATGTTGCCCAGGCTGGTCTCAAATACCTGAGCTCAAGTGATCCTCCAGCCTCGGCCTCCTGAAGTGCAGGGAGTAGATGTGTGAGCTGCACCCCATTCATACTTGTGTATTTCTTTTTTTTTTTTTGGAGATGGAGTCTCACTCTGTCTCCCAGGCTGGAGTGCAGTGACAGGATCTTGGCTCACTGCGACCTGCGCCTCCCAGGTTCAAGCAACTCTTCTGCTTCAACCTCTTGGGTAGCTCGGATTACAGCCATGTGCCACCACACCAGTTAAATTTTTGTATTTTTATGAAAGGTAGGGTTTTACCATCTTGGCCAGGCTGATCTCAAATGCTGATCTCAGGTGATCTGCCCGCCTCGGCCCACCAAAGTGCTGAAATTACAGTCATGAGCCACTGCACCTGGCATCTGTCCGAATTTTATTCACGGCCTAGCCTGCGGTCTGTCCTGAGGAATGTGTGTACAGCTGTGTGCATTCTTCAGCATCTTAGATTCCATTTTGGATGCTTCCCTCTGGACAGTGTGTCTCTGCGCTGGAACTCAAGTGAACGCTTGGCCCAATATCCAATGCTTTTCTCCAGAAATCCAGCCCAATTCTCTTGGTTAAAGATAAGATATATCTAGTATACATCGCTTTTTCTCTTTGGAGACATAGCTCAGGAGGATTGCCCCTTGATGAACAAGGCTCACCTGCTGAGCCTTTGAAATAAGGACCTGCAGATAGTCCTTTTAGGGTTTTATGTTCTGGATTCCAGAAAATACGCAAACTGGGCCAATAGATGCATCTTTATTTGTGTGTCTTATTTAACCTGGTAAGGAAAATTCCAACAAAAGCTCGGAGTGCTGGAGCGAGAAGATCTCATGCGGTGATTCTCCAAGGGGAGGCATTTTTGTCGTGTGAAATAAAACAAAGTGCCTCCTTTTAGAGAGTTACTGCTTGAGAAAAACAACGTGGACGTTGGCGCTGATCTTGGTAATACATGGAAGAGCATGCTTATAATCACACTTGCATGATATTGGGGTTTGGTTATAGTTTAGATTTTTTTCAACACAGGGCGTCTGTTGCCCAGGCTGGAGTGTGGAGGTACTTCCAACCTAGATCTCTGGGGCTTCACTGGTCTTTGTTATTTTTTATTTATTTATTATTTTTTTTCTTTGAGACAGCTCTGTGGCTTAGTCTGGAAGGCAGTGGCACATTCTCTGCTCACTGCCACTTCTGCCTCCTGAGTAGCTGGCATTACAGGCATGTGCCACCCCACATGACTAATCTTTGTGCATTTACAAGTAGCAGAGTTTCACCATGTTGGCCAAGTTAGTCTCAAACGCTAGACCTCAAGTGATTTCCCCACCTCAGCCTACCAAAGTGCTGGGATTACAGGCATGAGCCACCGCGCCCGGCCAAGACTCTGTCTCTTAAAAAAAAGAAAAAGAAAAAAAGGGGAAAAAAAAGATAAGGTATGTCCAGTAGGCATTGTTTTTTCTCTTTGGGGACATAACTCTGGAGGATTGCCCCCGGATGAGCAAAGCTAACCTGTTGAGCCTTTGAAACAATGACTTGGAGATGGTCCTTTCAGGGGTTTATTTTCTGGATTCCAGGAAACATGCAAACAGGGGCAATCAATGCATCTTTATTTGTGTGTCCATTTTGATGGGGTAAGAATCTTTCAACAAAAAACCCGGAGTGCTGGAGCAAGAAGATCTCAGGCAGTGATTCTCCAATGGGAAGCACTTCTTGTTGTCTGGAGTAAAGCAAAGTGCTTCCTTTTAGAGAGTTACTCCCTGAGAAAAACAACGTTGTAGATGATGCTGATTTTGGTAATACATTTGAAGGACGTGCTTATAATCACACTGGCGCCTGTAAATCCCAGCACTTTGGGAGGCTGAGGCGGGTGGATCACGAGGTCAACAGATCGAGACCATCCTGGTCAATATGGTGAAGCCCCGTCTCTACTAAAAATACAAAAAATTAGCTGGGCATGGTGGCGCGTGCCTGTAATCCCAGCTACTCGGGAGGCTGAGGCAGGACAATTACCTGAACCCAGGGGGCGGAGGTTGCGGTGAGCCGAGATTGCGTCATTGCACTCCAGCCTGGGTAACAAGAGCGAAACTCCGTCTCAAAAAAAAAAAATCACACTGGCATGATGTTAGAATTTTTTGTTTAGATGTTTCCCAACGCGGGGTGTCTGTTGCCAAGGCTGCAGTTCGGTGGCACTTCCAAGCTAGATCTCTTGGGCTCAGGTGGTCCCCCGTCTTTGTTATTTTGTTGAGACAGCTCTGGGCTCAGTCTGGAGAGCAGTGGCACGTTCTTTGCTCCCTGCACCGTCTGCATCCTCAGAAGCTGGCATTATAGCCACGCACCAACACACTTGGCTGATTTTTTTATTTTTACCAGTGACAGAGATTGACCATATTGTTGAAGATAGTGTCAAACTCCTGACCTCAGGTGATCCACCTGCCTCATCCTCCCAAAGTGCTGGGATTACAGGCGTGAGCCACCCCACCTGCCTCCAGGTTTTTTCTTTTCCTTTCTTTTTTTTCTTTTTTTTTTGAGACGGAGTTTTGCTCTTGTTACCCAGGCTGGAGTGCAATGGCGCGATCTCGGCTCACCACAACCTCCGCCTCCTGGGTTCAGGCAATTCTCCTGCCTCAGCCTCCTGAGTAGCTGGGATTACAGGCACGCACCACCATGCCCAGCTAATTTTTTGTATTTTTAGTAGAGACGGGGTTTCACCTTGTTGACCAGGATGGTCTCTTGACCTCGTGATCCACCTGCCTCAGTTTCCCAAAGTGCTGGGATTACAGGCTTGAGCCACCCCGCCTGCCTCCAGTTTTTTTCTTTATGTGTGCTGCCAAACCAAGCATTTATGTATAGGAGCTATTTTTCATGGAAGCATACAGTACGTGAAACATTCTTTTTTTCAGACAGAGTCTCAAAAGTGTATGATGTATATGTTATCGTATATGTTTATCATATATAATTTAGTCATTAACCCACAAACCCTCTTCTACACACAGAGAATACTTTTATATCACTTTGGGTATTTTTTTATTTGTTTTGAGACAAGGTCTGGCTCTATCGCCCAGGCTGGAGTGCAGTGTTGCCATCTCGGCTCACTGCAACCTCCGCCTGCCACCTCAGCCTTCTGAGTCACTGTCTACAGGCACGGACCACCACACCCAGCTAACTTTTGCATTTTTTGTACACACAGGTTTTCCCATGTTCTCCATGCTGATCTCGAACTGCTGAGCTCAAGTGTCACGCTCCACCATACTTGTGTGTTTCTACTCAAATTTCATTAAGGAGCTTTTTTTTTTTTTTTTTTTTTTTAAATTGATTTGCAAAGAAAGGAGCTTTTAAGAACATGGCCTGTGGTCTGTCCTGGAGGATGTCTCTGTGTGTGACAATGTATATTCTTCAACATCTTAGATTCCATTTTGGATGCTCCCATCGGGGCTCTGTGTCGCCGTACTGGAACTCAAGTGCACACTGGGCTCAACATTCTTCGCTGTTCTCTGGAAATCCTGTCCAGCTCTCTTGGTTAAAGATAAGGTATGTGTAGTGGGCATTGCTTTTTCTTTTTGGAACATAACTCTGGAGGATTGCCCCTTGACGAACGAGGCTGACCTGCTGAGCCTTTGAAGCAAGGAACTGGAGACATTTCTTTCAAGGATTTGTGTTCTGGGTTCCGGAAAACATGCAAGCAGGGCCAATGGATGCATCTTTATTTTTGCGTCCATTTTAACCTGGTCAAGGAAAGTTTCAACAGAAAACTCAGAGTGCTGGAGCAAGATCTCATGCTGTGACTCTCAGAAAGCACTTCCTGTTGTCTTAGAGAAATGAACGTGTCTTCCTTTAGAGAGCTGCCGTGTGAGAAAAGCAACATCGAAGTTGTTGCTGATGGTGGTAATACATTTGCAGAGCATGCTTGTAATCAGACTTTTTAGATGATGTTGAGGTTCTGTTTTGTATTTGTTTTCTAAGATGGGGTGTCTGTTGCCCGGGCTGTAGTGTGGTGGTGCCATCCTGGCTCACTGCCACCTGCACCTCCCACCTCAGCCTCCTGAACAGCTGTGTGCAGGGATGCACCACCACACCTGGTTAACTTTTGTATTTTATGTACAGATGAGGTTTCACCATGTTTCCCAGGCTGGCCTCAATCTCCTGTGCTCAAGTGATCCTCCAGTCTCGGCCTTCTAAAGTGCTGGGAATAGAGGTGTGAGCCACCGCACCCCATTCATACTTGTGTATTTCCGTTCCTTTTGTTTGTTTGTTTTCCTGAGACGGAATCTCACACTGTCACCCAAGCTCGAGCGCAGTGGCATGATCTCAGCTCACTGCAGCCTCAGCCTCCTAGGTTAAAGCACTTATTCTGCCTCAGCTTCTTGAGTAGTGGGGGATTACAGGCATGCTCAAACACACCGGTTTAATTTCTGCATGTTTTAGAGACATGTTGGCCAGGCTGCTCTCAAACTTTTGATGTCGGGTGATCTGCCAATTTCGGCCTCCCAAAGTGCTGAGATGACAGGTGTGAGCCATCATACCTGACCTTCTGTTCAAAGTTAAGTGAGGAGCTATAGTCTATTCTGAAGAATACGTGTATGACAGTGTACATTCTCCAACATCTTAGAATCCATTTTGGGCCGGGCGCGGTGGCTCACAGTGCTATAATCGCAGCACTTTGGGAGGCCGAGGCGGGTGGATCACAAGGTCAAGAGATCGAGACCATCCTGGTCAACAAGGTGAAACCCCGTCTCTACTAAAAATACAAAAATTAGCTGGGCATGGTGGCACACGCCTATAGTCCCAGTTACTCGGAGGCTGAGGCAGGAGAATTGCTTGAACCCAGGAGGCGGAGGTTGCGGTGAGCCGAGATTGTGCCATTGCACTCCAGTCCGGGTCACAACAGCGAGACTCCGTCTCAAAAAAAAAAAAAAGAAAAAAAAAGTTTAAACAATAAAAAATAAATTCATGGCTGTTCTCTGAAAATCCTGCCCAATTCTCTTGTTTAAACATAAGGTATAGCTAGTAGGCATTGCTTTTTCTCTTTGGAGACATAACTTAGGGGGATTGCCTCTTGATGAACAAGGCTAATCTATTGAGCCTTTGAAACAATGACCTGGAGATTCTTTTAGGAGTTTATGTTCTTTTAGGAGGTTATGTTCTAGAGCCCGGAAAACATGCAAACAGGGGCAATAAACGCATCTTTATTGGTGCACCCAGTTTAACCTGGGAAGGAAAATTCCAACAAAAAACCCGGAGTGCTGGGGAAAGACGGTCTCATGCGGTGATTCTCCAATGGGAAGCACTTCTTGTTGTCTGAAATAAAACGAAGTGCCTCCTTTTAGAGAGTTACCGTCTGAGAAAAACAACGTTGAAGGGGATGCCGATCTTGGTAATACATTCTAATCAGACTCGCGTGAGGTTGGGGTTTTGTCTTTGTTTAGATTTTTCCCAACACCGGGTGTCTGTTGCCCAGGCTGGAGTGTGGAGGCACTTCCAGTCTAGATCCCTTGGGTTCAAGTGGTCCGCCCACCTTTATTTTTTTCTTGCTGTAGCTCTGTGGCTCAGTCTGAAGGGCAGTAGAACGTTCTCCGCTCGCTGCCACCTCTCCTGGCATTACAGGTGCGGGCCACCACGTTTGACTAATTTTTGTACTTTTAGCAGAGACAGAGTTTCACCATGTTGGCCAGGTTAGTGTCAAACTCCAGACCTCAGGTGATCCACCTGCCTTGGCCTCCCAAAGTGCTGGGATTACAGGCATGAGCCACCCTGCCCGGCCTCCAATTTTTATTTTATGTGTGCTGCTAAACCAAGCACTTATATGAAGGAAATATTTTTCTTTTTTTTTTTTTTTTAATTTAAAAAGAACAGAAATTTGTTTCTCATAGTTCTGAAGGCTGAGAAGTTCAAGGTCAACATGCTGGCAGACTGGTGTCCATTGAGGGCGCAGTCTCAGCTTCCAGGATGGGACCCGTTGCTGTGTCCTCATATGGTGGAAGGGATGGAAGGGCAAAAAGGAGGTAATTAGTTCCCTTGAGCCCCTTTATAAAGGCACTAAACCCATTAATGAGAGTGGGGCTCTCATGACAGTCACCGCCTAAAGCCCCACCTCTAGCACATTGGTGATTGCTTTCAACACACGAATTTAGTGGTGGGGCATTCAGACCCTGGCATATTGATTTAGCAGTTCTGTTCCTGGGTATGTGTCTGTAAAGGACCTAAGAAGGGACCTCAAGAGAGATGTGTACACACATGTTCACATGATTATTCATAATAGCCAAGAGGAGGAAACAGCAGATGAGTGGATAAACCAAATGCAGCCTATGCATATAAGAAATATTTTTCCCTGGGGAGAAATGCCAAATGTGGGTGAAGGAGAGAAAAGAAGCAAAACGCACTGCCATGTGTGTACCTTTGCAACTGTCTTGCATGTTCTGCACATGTACCCCCAAACCTAAAATGCAATAAAAAATTAAAAAAATATTTTTCATGTGAGCATACAGTATAGGGAGCATTCTTTTTTTCAGAGAGGTTCTTAAAAATATCTGATATAGGGCTGGGCGCGGTGGCTGACGCCTGTAATCCCAGCACTTTGGGAGGCCGAGGCAGGTGGATCACAAGGTCAAGAGATCGAGACCATCCTGGTCAACATGGTGAAACCCCATCTCTACTAAAAATACAAAAATAAGCTGGGCATGGTGGCGCGTGCCTGTAATCCCAGCTACTTGGGAGGCTGAGGCAGGAGAATTGCCTGAACCCAGGAGGCGGAGGTTGCGGTGAGCCGAGATCATGCCATTGCACTCCAGCCTGGGTAACAACAGCGAGACTCTGTCTCAAAAAAAAAAAAAAAAAAAAAAAATATATATATATATATATTATCATATATAGTTATCATATATGATATAGTCATATACACACAAAACCCTCTTCTACACACAGAGAATACTTTTAAGCCACTTTGGATATTTTTTTTAATTTGTTTGTTTGTGTGGTTTCCTTTTGTTTTGAGACAAGGTCTGGCTCTGTCACCCAGGCTGGAGTGCCGTGGTGCCATCTCGGCTCGCTGCAACCTCCACCTGCCACCTCAGCCTTCTGAGTCACTGTCTGCAGGTGCGCATGACCACACCCTGCTGACTGTTGTATTTCTGTACACACAAGGTTTTACCATGTTGCCCATTCTGGTCTTGAACTTGTGAGCTTAAGTGATTCTCCCACACTGGCCTTCTAAAGTGCTGGATTCAGTGGTGCGAGCCACCGCGCCCCACCCGAACTTGTATTTCAGCTCAAAAGTTACTGAGGAGCTTTCTCACAGCCTGTCCTGGAGTGTTTGTCTGTGTGATAGTATATGCTCCTAACATCTTAGATGCCGTTTTGGATGCTCCCATCAGGACCGTGTGTATCACTGTACTGGAACTCAGTGAATATTTGGCTCAAAATCCATTGCTGTTCTCTAGAAATCCTGCCCAATTCTCTTGGTGAAAGATAAGGTATGTCTAGTGGGCATTGCTTTTTCTCTCTGGAAACATAACTCAGGAGAATTGCCCTTTGAGGAGCAAGGCCGGCCTGCTGAGCCTTTGAAGCAAGGAACTACTAGAGATGGTCTTTTTTTTTTTTTTTTTTTTTGCCAGAGTCTCTCTCTGTTGCCCGGGCTGGAGTGCAGTGGTGCGTTCTCAGCTCCCCACCACCTACGCCTCCCAGGTTCAAGCAGTTCTCCTGCCTCAGCCTCTCAGGAGGATTGCTCCTTCATGAACAAGGCTAACCTGCTGAGCCTTTGAAGGAAGGAACTAGAGATGCTCCTTCTAGGGGTTTATACTCTGGATTCCAGAAACAGGCAAACAGGGCCAATGAATGCATCATTTCTGTGTGTTCGTTTTCACCTGGTCAGGGAAAATTTCACAAAAATCCCACAGTCCCGGAGCAGGAAGATGTCACGCTGTGACCCTCTAAAGGGTGATGCGTTCTGTTGTCTAAAAGAAAAGCATCGAACGCGCCCCCCTTTAGGGGGTAACTGTGAGAAAAGCAAGGTGGAAGCGGATGCTGATCTTGGTAAGACGTTTGCAGAGCGTGCTTCTAATCAGGCTTGCGTGAGGTCGGGGTCTATTTCTGCTTTTTTTCTAAGACGGGGTCTTTGTTGCCCAGGCTGGAGTGTGGTGACACTTCCAAACTCCATCTTTTGGGTTCAACAGGTCCTTTTGTTTTTCTTTCTTGAGAGAGAATCTGGTGGTGACACCCAGGCTGGAGTGCAATGGTGCGATATCGGCTCACGGCAGCCTCCCCTTCCCGGGTTCAAGTGATTGTTTGACCTCAGCGTCCCGCATAGCTGGGATTACAGGTAAGTGGCACCATGCCCGGCTAATTGTTGTGGTTTCAGCAGAGACAGGGTTTCACCATGTTGGCTATGCTGGTCTCGAGTGTTCCTCTTCATTCAGCCCTGCAGGTACCGGGACTCCATGGGGCGTCCCACCACACTTGGCTAAGTTTTCAGTTTTTGTTAGAGGTGGGGTCTCTGTTGCCCAGGAAGGTCTCAACTGCTGAGCTCAGGGGATCCCACAGGTGTGAGCCACCTTGTCCTAACGACCCATTTAAAAGACAGTTGACATGGGCAGACATCGGGCACGGGGTCCCAGCTACTGCAGAGCCTGGGTGGGAGGGTCCTTTGATTTCCGGGCTATACCAAGAACTCACCACACCTTTGATCCTGAGTAGCTGGGATTACAGGCACCACCGCCACTCCCAGCTAATTTTTGTGGTTTTAGTGAAGACAGGTTTTGTTGTGGTTGAGATGGAGTCTCAGCTCACTGCAACCTCTGTCTCCTGGGTTCAAGCAGTTCTCCTGCCTCAGCCTCCCAAGTAGCTGGGATTACAGGCGCGCACCACCATGCCCGGCCTATTTTGCATTTTTAGTAGAGACGGGCTTTCACCATGTTAGCCAGGCTGGTCTTGAACTCCTCACCTTGTGATCCACTCGCCTCGGTCTCCCAAAGTGCTGGGATTACAGGCGTGAGTCACCTCGCCAGGCCTGTAAAGAGTGGTTTTACCGTGTTTATCAGGCGGGTCTTGAACTCTTGACGTCAGGTGATCCATCCACCTTGGATGCTGGGATGACAGGTGTGAGCCGCTGTGCCCAGCTCCCTGTCCTAATTTTCAGTATGGGATTCATCATGAATGTGAGGGTCACCTTAGTGCTGGGGCCCTAACTGTCTCTGTCATTCCGTGTATGTTTATGTGTGCTGCCGAAACAAGCACTTACGTGTAGGAATTATTCTTTATGTGAGCGTACAGTAGATGGAACTTTCTTTCATGTGAGACCGGGTCTCAAAAATAAATGATGTACATTTGATCGTATAATCTTATTATATATAACATAATTATATAACACAAAATACTCTTCTGCACGCAGAGAGTGCTCATATCACTTTGGGGTTCTTTTTGTCCGTGTGCTTTCTTGGGGTCTTTTGGATACCAGGTCTGGCCCTGTTGCCCATGCTGAGTGTGGTGGTGCGATCTCTGCTCACTGCAACCTCCACCTCCCACCTCAGCCTCCTGAGTAGCTGTCTGCAGGCATGCACCACCACACCTGACTGCCTTCTGTATTTTTACAGACGAGGTTTCACCATGTTTCCCAGGCTGGTCTCAAACTCCTGACCTCAGGTGATCCACCCGCCTTGGCCTCCCACAGTGCTGGAATTACAGTGATGAGTCACCGCACCCAGCCTTCTGTTCCAGTTTTATTGAGGGGCTTCCGCTGCTTAGCCTGTGGTCTAGCCTGAAGAACGTGTGAACGACTGTGTGCAGCCTTCAACATCTTAGATTCCATCGTGGATGCTCCCACTGCAGTGTGTCCCTGTGCTGGAACTCAAGTGAGCACTGGCTCAACATCCTTTGCTGTTCTCTAGAAATGCTGCCCAATTCTCTTGGTTAAATGTAAAGTATGTCAGGAGCAAAGAAAACACACACACACACACACACACACACACACACACACACACACACACACAAGTATGTCTAGTAGGCATTGCTTTTTCTCTTTGGGGACAAAACTCAGGAGGATTGGCCCTTGATGAACAAGGCTAATCTGCTGAGCCTTTGAAGCAAGGAACTGGAGATGGTCCTTTTAAGGATTTATGTTCTGGATTCCAGATACAAGTAAACAGGGCCAATGAATGCATCTATATGGCTGGGCATGGTGGCTCACGCCTGTAATCCCAGCATATTGGGAGGCCGAGGCAGGAAAATCACAAGGTCAGGAGATCGAGTCCGTCCTGGCTAACATGGTGAAACCCCATCTCTACTAAAAAAATAAATAAATATATAAATTAGCTGGGTGTGGTAGAACACACCTGTAGTCTCAGCTACTTGGGAAGCTGAGAAAAAATAATTGCTTCGACTCAGGAGGCGGAGGTTGCAGTGAGCCGAGATCACACCACTGCACCACAGCCTGGGACAGAGCAAGATTTTATCTCAAAATAAATAAATAGACACACACACACGCTTGTGTCCATTTTTAACCCACTCAAGGAAAATTTCAACAAAAAACCCACAGAGGCCAGGCATGGTGGCGTGTGCCTGTAGTCCCAGCTACTCGGGAGGCTGAGGCTGGAGGATCTCTTGAGTCCAGGAGTTCTGGGCTGTGATCGCTATGCCAATCACATAAGTCTGCACTAAGTTCAGCCTCAATATGGTTACCTCCCTGGAGCAGGGGACCACCAGGTTGCCTAAGGAGGGGTGAACCAGCCCAGGTCAGAAACGGAGCAGGTCAAAACTCCCATGCTGATCAATAGTGGGATCGCACCCGTGAATAGCCACTGCACTCCAGCCTGGGCAACATAGCAAGACCCCATCCCTAAAATAATAACAATAACAATAATAAATTAAATAAATAAATTTAAAAAACCCACAGTGCTGGAGCAAGAAGATCTCATGCTGTGACCCTCTAGAGGGAAGTGCTTTCTGGTGTCTGAAAAAAACAGAATGCGCTTCCCTTTAGATGGTTACCGCGTGAGAAGAGCAACGCTGAAGTTGGTGCTGACCTTGGTAATAGCTTTGCAAGCACGCCTGTAGTCAGACTTGGATGATGGTGGGTTCTGTTTTTGCTTTGCTCTTTTCCAAGACAGGGTCTTTGTTTCTCAGGCTGCAGTGGGGTGGCACTTCCAACCTAGATCTCTTGGGCTCAAGAGGTCCCCTTTTTTTTTCTTTCTCAACAGTCTTGTAGTGACACCCAGGCTGAAGTGCAGTGGTGCGGTATCGGCTCTCTGCAGCCTCCTCCTCCCAAGTTCAAGTGATTGTTCACCTCAGCCTTCCTAGTAGCTGGGATTACAGTGCTTATTTTTGTATTTTTATCAAAGATGGGGTTTCACCATGTTAGTCGAGTGGTCTTCAACTCCAGACCTCAAGTGATCTGTGTCTCTTGCCTCCCAAAGTGCTGGGATTACAGGTGTGAGCCGCCGCGCCTGGCCCATTCCATTTAGTTTTATATGTGTGGTCGAAACAATCAGTATGTGTAGGAATTATTCTTCCTGTGAGCATGTGTTGAGCAGCCTGGGCCAACATAGCAAGATCCCATGTCTTTAAAAACACAGATTTTTTTTTTTAATTATTTTTTTTTCTTTTTTTTAAATTGCATTTTAGGTTTGGGGGTACATGTGAAGAACATGCAAAGATTGTTGCATAGGTACACACGTGGCAGCATGATTTGCTGCCTTCCTCCCCTTCACCTATATCTGGCATTTCTCCCCATGCTATCTCTCTCCAACTCCCCACTCTCCACTGTCCCTCCCCTATTTGCCCCCCAACAGACCCCAGTGTGTGATGCTCCCCTCCCTGTGTCCATGTGTCCTCATTGTTCAACACCCACCTATGAGTGAGAACATGCAGTGTTTGATTTTCTGTTCTTGTGTCAGTTTGTTGAGAATGATGTTCTCCAGATTCATCCATGTCCCTATAAAGGACACGAGCTCATCCTTCTTGATGGCTGCATGATATTCCATGGTGTATATGTGCCACATTTTCCCAGTCCAGTCTGTCATCGATGGGCATTTGGGTTGATTCCAGGTCTTTGCTATTGTAAACAGTGCTGCAATGAACATTCGTGTGCATGTGTCCTTATAGTAGAACGATTTATAGTCCTTTGGATATATACCCAGTAATGGGATTGCTGGGTCAAATGGCATTTCTATTTCTAGGTCCTTGAGGAATCACCACACTGTCTTCCACAATGGTTGAACTAATTTACACTCCCACCAGCAGTGTAAAAGTGTTTCTATTTCTCCACATCCTCTCCAGCATCTGTTGTCTCCAGATTTTTTAATGATCACCATTCTAACTGGCATGAGATGGTATCTCAATGTAGTTTTGATTTGCATTTCTGTAATGACCAGTGATGATGAGCATTTTTTCATGTTTGTAGGCCTCATGTATGTCTTCTTTTGTAAAGTGTCTGTTCATATCCTTTGCCCACTTTTGAATGGGCTTGTTTTTTTCTTGTAAATCTGAAAAACACAGATTATGTGGCACCTGGCATGTCTGCTTCCAGAGACCTCATGTGATGGGGGTCCAAATACTAGACCCCCATCAATGTACTTTAATGTATGCAAACCCTGCTTCCTTCATTAAGAGACTAAGTGATCTTCCACGTGTCTCCAGTCTGCCCTGTAATCCCCAGTGGATGTCATTATTAATAAAATTTCTTTTGTTCTTACTTGTTTGTGTCTTTAGTTTTTCCTCCCCAACACCTTGCGTCATTTCTCGGAATAGACCTGCTCTCTCTGCAGGAAGGGTGTAGTGGATCCAGCCCTCACCCACTCATGCCAGCCCCAGTGAGGTCTTCTGGCTGCAGCTGCACTGGTTATCCTGTTCCACCGGGCAGAACCTCACATCTGAATGCCAGTTGCTTGGTAAGATGTGAAATGTTGGCTGTGGCTAGTATAAGAATCCAACTATTTGGCCGGGCGCAGTGGCTCACGCCTGTAATCTCAGCACTTTGGGAGGCCGAGGCGGGTGGATCACGAGGTGTGTTGCACATCTTACCATGCAGTGGCATGATACCAGCTCACTGCAACCTCTGCCTCCCAGGTTCAAGCAATGCTTGTGCCCAGCCCCCCTAGTAGCTGGGATTACAGGCATGCGTCACCACACCTGGCCAATTTTTGTATTTTTAGTAGAGATGGGGTTTCACCATGTTGGCTGGGCTGGTTTCAAACTCCTGACCTCAAGTGATTCACCCACCTTGGCCTCCCAGAGTGCTGGAACTACAGGTGTGAGCCATTGTGGCAAGCCTGATTTTTATATTATAGACGCAGTGGTCCAGCTCTGCCGCCCAGGCTGAACTAGGCTTTAGAGATCTTCCTGCCTCTGCCCTTCTGCAGCCTGTGGTAGTTTGGACACCAGGTGAACATTGTCATAGATGCAGCCATCACCACTCTAGTCTGGAGATTTTCATCACCCCACAGAGGCTTATGCCCATGTGCAGTCGCTGCCCTCCCCACTCCTCCACCCAGACCCTGGCAGCCTCTCCGCATCTCTCTAGCTCTGGATCTGCCTCTTGCGGGCATGTCACATAGACCAGTCTTGAATGGGTGGCCTGTTGAGGATAACGGGTGGTCCTGGCTGTCTGCAGTGTGAATCTTTTTTTTTTTTTTTTTGAGACGGAGTTTCGCTCTTGTTACCCAGGCTGGAGTGCAATGGCGCGATCTCGGCTCACCACAACCTCCGCCTCCTGGGTTCAGGCAATTCTCCTGCCTCAGCCTCCCGAGTAGCTGGGATTACAGGCACGCGCCACCATGCCCAGCTAATTTTTTGTATCTTTAGTAGAGACAGGGTTTCACCATGTTGACCAGGATGGTCTCGATCTCTTGACCTCGTGATCCACCCGCCTCGGCCTCCCAAAGTGCTGGGATTACAGGCTTGAGCCACCGCGCCCGGCCTTGCAGTGTGAATCTTATCCCTAAGGGTGGTCCCTGGAGGGAAGCAGGGAGCTGGGAGAACTGGGCAGAACATCATTTTGGAATGGAGGGGGGCGGGCAGAGCCTGAGGTCTGAAGCTCCGAGGGTGGCAACCCCCCTGTTCCTCCCTGAGAACTGCGAGGTGACCCCCCCTGGGGCCCTGGAAGTTTTCCCTTTGCCCTTTTGTTCACACTTTTTTTGTCTGAAGATTTATCTTTCGATGCTGCCTTTTCAGCTTTGCTTTTACTTTTTCTTTTTTTTTTTTTTTGAGGATTTGTCTTTCCCTGTCACCCAAGCTGGAGTGGCTACATGTCGGCCCCACTGCAACCTCCGTCTCCCAGGTTCATGCGATTCTCCTGCCTCAGCCTCCCGAGTAGCTGGGATTACAGACACCCATCACCACGCACAGCTTATTTTTGTATTGTTAGTGAAGTTGGTGGTTTCTCCATGTTGGCCAGGCTGGTCTCGAACTCCTGACCTCCAGTGATTCGCCTGCCTCGGCCCCCCAAAGAGTTGGCATTACAGGCGACAGCCACCGCAGCAACCTCCCAGTGGGCTCTTCTTTGGCGGCCCCTTGTGGAGCTGACCTTCCTCTGGGGCATCCTGGCGAAGGGGAGTGGCGTGCGGAGAGCCTTCGCGAAGCTCTGCTGGCTGGCTGCTGCCGCTCCTCCCCCATCGCCCCGAGCTACTGAGACCCACAGTGGGGGCGCGGGGAGAACAAATGAAACCGGAACATTTATTTTTGAGAGGGAGTCTCGCTCTGTCGCCAGGCTGGAGTGCAGTGGCACAATCTTGGCTCCCTGCAACCTCCGGCTCAAGTGATCTCCACCTCAGCCTCCTGAGTAGCTGACATTACAGGCACACATGCCACCACCTCTGGCTAATTTTTCTTTTCTTTTTTTTTTTTTTTTTTTTTTTGAGACGGAGTTTCGCTCTTGTTACCCAGGCTGGAGTGCAATGGCGCGATCTCGGCTCACCGCAACCTCCGCCTCCTGGGTTCAGGCAATTCTCCTGCCTCAGCCTCCTGAGTAGCTGGGATTACAGGCACGCGCCACTGTGCCCAGCTAATTTTTTTTGTAATTTTAAGTAGAGACGGGGTTTCACCATGTTGACCAGGTTGGTCTCGATCTGCCGACCTCGTGATCCACCCGCCTCGGCCTCCCAAAGTGCTGGGATTACAGGCTTGAGCCACCGCGCCCGGCCTAATTTTTCTTTTTAACACTGTCACTCTTAGGATATGCTTAAGTTACTTTTGGCTAATTTTTGTACTTTTTGTAGAGATGAGGGGGTCTCCCTCTGTTGCCCAGGCTGGTCTCGAACTCCTGGGCTCAAGTGATCCATCTGCCCTGGCTTCCCAAAGTGCTGGCTGTAACGCCAGGAGTTTGGGAGACCGCAGTTGACTGGAGAGAGTCCCTAGCAACAAACACTCCAGGGAGAGAATGGCGATTTTTCAACTGTCAGTCAGCAAGGGGCTAGTATATATTGAAAAGGTTCAGGCTGAGTGCGGTGGCTCATGCCTGTAATCCCAGCACTTTGGGAGGCTGAGGCGGGTAGATCACAAGGTCAGGAGTTCACAACAGCCTGGCCAAGATAGTGAAACCCCATCTCCACTAAAAATTACCAAAAAAATTAGCCGGGCGCTATGGAAGGCGCCTGTAGTCCCATTTCCTCAGTGGGCTGAGGCAGGAGAATCACTTGAACCTGGGAGGCGGAGGTTGCAGTGAGCTGAGATGGGGCCACTGCACTCCAGTCTGGGCGACAGAGCAAGACTCTGTCTCAAAAAAAAAGAAAGAAAAAAGAAGGCTCAGGGCATGTCACCCCAATGTCCATCACATCAGCCTATGGATTATTTTGACTAGGGCTTCCTTGAGAAAAAACAGATGCATCTGACTTCCCCCTTCCCACGTAAAAGTAGATCGTAAAATTTCTTATGAGAAAAATGCCCTTCCTGCCGCAGGAAGAGAAGCATATTCCCATCAGCAGAAGAGAGGAGTCCATATGCTAAACAACTCTGGTAACTTACCCCTTATCTTCCATGAGTTCCCCACGGTTTCCTACCCGCTTCCTGTAGCCCAAGCCCCTTTGTCTTCTCACATCTCCACAATTTACCATTTTTTTGTTGTTGTCGTTGCTGTGATTGAGACAGTTTCCCTTTGTCACCCAACCTGGAGTTCAATGGCGCCATCTCGGCTCACTGCAACCTCCGTCGTCCAGGTTCAAGTGACTCTTCTGCCTCAGCCTTCCCAGTAGCCAAAATCACAGGCATGTGCCACCCCACCTGGCTAACTGCAGGGTCTTGCTATGTTGTTCAGGCTGGAGGGCAGCGGCACAATCATAGCTCACTGCAGTCTTCAACAACTGGGCTCAAGCGATCTTCCCACATCGGCCTTTTAAATCACTGAGATTACAGGTGGTAGCCATCATGCCAGGCCCCAAAAAAGTCTTTAAGCTTCAGCCTGGCACAGTGGCTCACGCCTGTCATTCCAGCCCTTTGAGAGGCTTAGGTGGGAGGATCGCTTGAGCCCAGCAGTTGAAAGCTGCAGTGAGCTATGAACTCCAGCCTGGGCAACAAAGTGAGACCTTATCTCAAAAAAGAAAACCAGAGGCTGGCCACAGTGCAAAGTGCCTGTGATCCCAGCACTCTGGAAGGCCAAGGCAGGAGGATCACTTGAGGTCCAGAGTTCGAGACCAGGCTGGCCAACATGGCGAACCCATGTCTCTAGTAAAAATACAAAAATTAGCCGGGCACGGTGGCAGGCACCTGTAATCCCAGCTATTCGGGAGACTGAGGCAGGAGAATTGCTTGAACTCGAGAGGCGGAGGTTGCAGTGAGCTGGGATCACGCCATTGCACTCCAGTCTGGGCCACAGAGTGGAAAGACTCGGTCTCAAAAAAAAAAAAAAAAAAAAAAAAAGGGCCGGGCGCGGTGGCTCCCGCCTGTAATCCCAATCCCAGCACTTTGGGAGGTCCAGGCGGGTGGATCACGAGGTCAAGAGATCGAGACCATCCTGGTCAACATGGTGAAACCCCGTCTCTACTAAATATACAAAAAAAAAAAAAAAAATTAGCTGGGCATGTGGCGTGTGCCTGTAATCCCAGCTACTCGGGAGGCTGAGGCAGGAGAATTGCCTGAACCCAGGAGGTGGGGGTTGCGGTGAGCCGAGATCGCGCCATTGCACTCCAGCCTGGGTAACAAGAGCGAAACTCCGTCTCAAAAAAAAAAAAAAAAAAAAAAAAGGATGCTTGCGATGCTGGTTACTGGCAGCATTGTGCCCTCTAGTGGCCCCATGGAAAAGCGCATCACCAGCTACTGCTATTTATCGAGTTTTGGAAGCTTGGAATTTAGATTCCATTTTGATGTTCAATTTAGATTTAGGTCAAATTCTCCACCAGACGGTGGAGACACGTGGTGGCCACCAAAGGAGAGGCAGTGGGTCGCAGCCAAGCGTTTGCACTGTGGACATTTTGGAAGGTGGAATCACAAGGACCCTGGGTTCGTTTGTGTTTTGTTTTTTTAAATTAATTTGGGCAGGAGCCTTGGGAGACTGAGGAGGGAAGATCGTCTGAGCCCATGAATTTGAGACCAGCCTGGGCAACAAGTGAGACCCTGTCTTTAAAAAACAAATAACTAGGCCGGGCACGGTGGCTCAAGCCTGTAATCCCAGCACTTTGGGAGGCTGAGGCGAGTGGATCACGAGGTCAAGAGATCGAGACCATCCTGGTCA